TCTTGGACCAAAATAAAGAACAAGCCGGCCCCCTTCACTGAGGTGCTGGGTAGGGCTCAGTGCCACATTACTGTGCTTTGAGAAAGAGGGAGGGGATGTTTGGCACTTTAAAAATAGAGGAGTAAGCACGACTGGAGGTCAGAGAAGATACCAAAATTGGCAGGGAAAGACCATTTGGCACTAGTCCCCTGGGAGACGGGAAAAGGGAAATAGATATGAGGGTAGGAGCTAAGAAAAATAGGAGGGTTCCACTCCAAGTGGCAGGGTGCTGAAATGGGCTAGGATCAACAGGACACTGACTCTAGGTTTATGACCTCTCCGTACCCGTCCCACAGCAGCTGATGCCCATCTCCAGCCTCCCATGTCAGCCTGTCCTTATGTATAGTGTCCAACCTCTGATTCTAGTAGTCAAGTGTCTTCCCCAATCCTAATGTCCCCTGATCCTGTCTCTACCGACTTGACCATCTCTTGTTCCTTGGGACTGGGGCCAGCCTCTTGTCTGCCCACTTCCCTCTCATTAGTCAGATAGCCCCAAAGGCTCTATCTTTAGCTCCCAGAGAACTTTTTGGTCCTCAGTACTTCCCTTCCCCATTCCTTCCTATTCCCCACACACTGGGGGAGGGAAGGGAGAACAGGGGCACGTGATCATCAATCTCCCCTGCCCCTCTCTTGAAGCCCCCTAGATTTGGATGAAGAGCAGGCCAGTGAGCAGAGCAAAGCCTGCTAGGAGCAGAATGACCTTGAGGATCCTTTGCTCAGAACTGGCCAGCTCCTGGGGCAGGATTTCCAGAAAGGTGATATAGAGAAAGGTGCCAGCCGCCATGCCCTCTAGCACAGACTGGGCCAGCTGGTGCAGAGGTCCTGCTGACTCTGCCAGAGCTGCACCCAGCCCGATGCCTAGAGGTGTCATGCATGAGAAGAGAATCCCACAGCCAGCCACCACCTGTGCCCTAAGGTGGCTCTGCAGCAGCCGGAGGGACAGACTGACAGCCAGGATCCCCTTATGGAGCAGCAAAGCCAGGCACAGCTCCATGGCCCGAGCCCGGTCTCGCTGCAGCCCTACTGCCAGCCCCTCGAACACAGAGTGGAGGGCCAGGGAGAAGACCAGTACACAGGCACGCAAGGCTGAGGGGGTTGCTGGGGCTCCACTCGCCTGTGGAACCCCTGGCCCATCATGCCAAAGCTGTGGCCCACCGTTCACTGTTCCCAGCAGAGCCCTTGTTTCCTCCAGAGGTGGCGGCCCTGACTGCTCCTTGTAAGCCAGTGTGATCTGCTCCATCACCAGGACCAGGAAGAAGCCCATGGCCAGGATGAACTCTTGCAGCGGGAACTGGAGCTGTGGGCAGAAAGGGCAGCAAAAAGTTCAGAGAAGGAAGAGTGAGATGCAAAATCTGATGGAAGCCCAGTTACACAGACTTAGATTCCCATACAGACACAGGGCTACTCTCGGTTACACAAAGATACAGTGACTTGGTAACAACTTGTATCACAGAGTGATACACACACACAGATTTTGGTGTCACTCAGTGTTACATGTAGACCAAAGTTTCTCAGCTTTGGAACTATTAACATTTTGGGGCCGGGCGCGGTGGCTCATGCCTATAATCCCAGCACTTTGGGAGGCCGAGGTGGGTGGATCACGAGGTCAAGAGATCGAGACCATCCTGGTCAACAGATCGAGACCATCCTGGTCAACATGGTGAAACCCCGTCTCTACTAAAAATACAAAAATTAGCTGGGCATGGTGGCACGTGCCTGTAGTCCCAGCTACTCGGGAGGCTGAGGCAGGAGAATAGCCTCAATCCAGGAGGTGGAGGTTGTGGTGAGCTGGGATCACACCATTGCACTCCAGCCTGGGTAACAAGAGTGAAACTCCATCTCAAAAAAAAAAAAAAAACATTTTGGGGCCAGGTGCAGTGGCTCATGCCTATAATCCCAGCACTCTGGGAGGCCCAGGTGGGCAGATTATTGAGGTAAGGAGTTTGAGACCAGCCTGGTAAAACCTTGTCTCTACTAAAAATATAAAAATTAGCCAGGCGTGGTGGTGGACACCTGTAATCCCAGCTACCCAGGAGGCAGAGGTTGCAGTGAGTCGAGATTGTGCCACTACACTCCAGCCTGGGAGACAGAGTGACACTGTCTAAAAAAAAACCCCAAAAAAACCAAAAAACCACATATTGGGCCAGATCATTTTTTGTCATGGGAGCTGTCTTGTGCACTGTAAGTTAACAGGATTTCTGATCTCTACCTACCATATGTCAACAGCAGGCACAATGTTCCCTTCATCCCCCATCCGTTGTGACAACTAAAAATATACCAGACATTACCAAATGTTTCCTGAAGGGCAAAGATACACTCCTACTTGAGAGTCACAGATGTAGACATACATGAAAATGTCACACATTGGCCCATCTCTCCAAATACTCACACATAGAGCCACATATCACAGGACATTCAGGCTTATACATAGTCACATGGAAACACAGGTCACTCAGTCACAGACACACAAAGGGTTACATTCAGTGTTATTTCCTCAGTTTTAGGGGAAAAAGAGGAAAGAGCTCAGGATGACTTTCCTGCCCCACTATCCAACAGTCTGTTTGTCCTATAATAATCCAAGTCCTATGACGTGGACTTGATCATTCGTCATAGCCATTTCCTTGGGCCAAAGCCTAAAAAGGTCAGCAACACCAGGCCCCAGGGTATCGCCTCCTACCCTTTTCAGGCCTACATAGACCTCTATCTCCAGCCCTCTAGGAAAGTGGTGAGAGAGTGAGGGTGATTCTTGGAGCACTTCCAGGTGGCTAGAACTGAGAACTCACAGAGTAAGTCACACACCTGAAAAAAAGTTTCTTACTGTGTCAAAGGGCATGTAGGGGTCACAGAAGGAATGGGGAGGAGGGAGGAAACACATAGAATTATGCCCGGTGGGCCGGGCGCGGTGGCTCACGCCTATAATCCTAGCACTTTGGGAGACCGAGGCGGGTGGATCATGAGGTCAAGAGATCGAGACCATCCTGGTCAACAAGGTGAAACCCCGTCTCTACTAAAAATACAAAAATTAGCTGGGCATGGTGGTGTGCACCTGTAGTCCCAGCTACTCGGGAGGCTGAGGCAGGAGAATTGCTTGAACCCAGAAGGTGGAGGTTGCGGTGAGCCGAGATTGTGCCATTGCACTCCAGTCTGGGTAATAGCAAAACTCCGTCTCAAAATAAAAAAAAATAAAATAAAATAGATATTCTTAAAAATACATAGATATACGCAAAAAATCCCACCCTAGCTTCCCCAAGTAATCATAAACTACACAGTGCTGCAACTTGTTCTCCACACACACACACACACACACACACACACACAAAGAATTATGCCCCGTAACCAAAATCACAATTCATAGGCCCACATGCCAAAAGCTTTCCACACAGTCATGGAGTGACACATGAATCAATCTCAACAAACCAACAGTCCTAGAGGTGTGTGATTTCCCTCCCGCATGTCACATGCCCAGGCCAGTGCTCACCGTTACATGCAAGGCTGCCAGGGCCTCATCTATAGCAGCCAGGTAGTCAGGCAGCAGGTCCAGGAGACAGGTGGCCAAAAAGACGCCACCCGCAAAACAGCTTACTAGGCTTAGGGCTTTCTGGCGGGAAGCTGGGCAGGGGTGAAGCACAGAGGAGAATGAGCAAACGAATCCCTTCCAGGGCCCACCCCGCCAAACCCAAACAATGGCTACCCTTGCCTTTCCCTCCTCCTTTGGTATCTGCCCCCAGCCCCAGCCTTCCCTAAGCCAAGCGTCCATAGCAGTGTGGGCTTACCTGAGGCTTCATGGTTAGCTCCTGGCCTGCGCAGCACACAGATGGGCACCAGGCTGCAGAGAAGTGTGAGCACCAGCAGCAGCACCAGGGCCCCCAACTTCACCTCCAGCCCCACAAGCACTGGAGGCTCTGAAGCTACTGCCTCTGGGCGCCACACCAGGAGTTCGGGCTCTCCCCAGGGCCCCATGGTGCTTCTGGTAGCTCCAGTGACTCTCAGACCTAGGAAGACAGACCAGAGTGGGTGGGGAAAAAATCATGCAAGGAAAGATGGGGCAAGGAATGGGGAAGCTTGGTAAGCAGAGTGCAGCTCCCTGGCCCCAAGCACTTTCTGACCTCTCTGAACCCAGAGTGACTCATTCACTCCTGTACCAGGAACATTCCTCTCTTCTCAGACTTTCTTTACCAAGTGACTTATTCAGGGTGACCGCAAGGGGGAAACTGAGGCATGAGAAAGGCTGTGTGGATATCTCATTGCAGTTTCACCAGGTGCCCCCAGAGAACTAGGAAACTAGGAGCCGCCTCCAAATAGGACCTGGAGCTGGGGTTCCCCTAAGGAATGTAGAGGCCAGGCCTCCCAACTCCCGAAAGGAGTGAGCGAAGCCAAAGTGGCTGGGGCTGTGGAGAGATGTCACGGGTAGCTTCGTGCACCACCTGGACAGGATGAGCTTGGGTGCTGTGTTCCCCTTTTCCCAGCGCAGAGAGCAAGCGCTTTCAGGCCCCAGGCTGGGACCTAGAGGCAGATGGCCAGAGGAGAGGGGCCCTAAGAGCCTGCAGTCCCGGGACGGACTGAGGCGACGCTGAGGGCGGTGCCTGGAAGTCCGGGCTCCAGGAGGCGGGGTGCGAGGCCGCCAGCGTCGCGGGAAGCAGATGAAGAATATGTGAGCTGGACTCATGCTCCCGGGACCGGGCAGGCCTGGGCAGCCAACCTGGACCCCGCTCCCTGAGAGCCCGCACTCACCTCGCGAGGGTCTCACTACATGGTCTCCGCGCGTTTCCGGCCTAGAGTCGGGAACTCCCGCCCCCCATCGTTCCCCCCTCCCCCACAGCCGCCGCGTACCCACGCCCGACTGCCAATAGCAGCTCCGGATGGGCGGGGACAGACCGGGAGTGACATGAGTTAGGAGCAATCAGAGACCGGGAGTGGGAGCGGGCGGAGTAGGCGACCAGAGGAGAGTGAGCAAGAGTGAGGGCGGAGATTTAGGAGGAGGACTCCGGGGCTGCGGCCGGAGGGCGCATCTGTGGAGGTCTAGGAGCCGGAGCGGGCCGGTCCACCAAGGTTTTGATCATATGGGTATTTTTAAAAGAGGGAGACCCCGCATTGTCAAGTCTTCTGGCCCACATCTGAGGACATCTTCCTGGCCTTGGGCCAAAGTCTTACCTACTTCTCAGAGGGCTCTGAGAGCCCCGTCAGTGCCTCTTGGCGCCCCAAGGAAAGCATTCCCTTCCTGGGAACAACTTCCTCGCCTGCTTTCCCTCGACAGCACCCACAACAAAGAGAAGGACAAGGCAGAATTGGAAGTAGAGGAAGAGCAGAGAGGGTATGTCTTGAAAATCATCCTTTCTCGACTACTCATGGCCTCTGTGCAGCCTCCGCCTTCTGCAAGTGAGTGGGGACGTGGTGGGACCCGGCGGCCGGGTGCTGAAGCATCGCCCCCAGCGCATTCCAGTCTACCTGCGTACCGCGCCTGCAGGCTTCTGGCCGGCTCTCCCACCTGATCTCCAGCCCGGTTTCCGCCACCCCTGCCGGCCTGCTTGCTGTTTGCTGTTCCTTGAATGCCCCAAGGTAGTTGTTTCAGCTCAGGACCTTCACCGTTTCTTCATCATGGATGCTTGTGGCCCACAGCCCTGTGCTATTCTAGCCTCAAGGGATGGTAAGGACAAAAGAAGAAAATTTAAAAAGGGGGCTCAGCTATTCTTTTGTGCAAAGGTGAAAAAAGCCTCATTGCCTAAAGAAGGGACAGATGGGATCTTGCTTCTTACAGGAAAAATAATTTTTAAAAAGAAGAAAAAAAAAAGGGACAGAATACTTCTCACAAGGCTCCAGAAATGGAGCCCAGCAATTCAAGGGGGAATGTGAAGACTTCTTAAGGGGCGGGGCGGGGCTCGACGGCTCACGCCTGTAATACCTTTGGGAGGCCGAGGCGGGTGGATCACCTGAGGTCAGGCGTTCCAAACCAGCTTAGTCAACATGGTGAAACCCTGTCTCTACTAAATGTACAAAAATTAGCCGGGCGCCGTGGTGGGCGCCTGTAATCCCAGCTACTTGGGAGGCTAAGGCAGGAGAATCGCTTGAACCCAGGAGGGGGAGGTTGCAGTGAGCCGAGATCGATGGCATCATTGCCCTCCAGCCTGGGTGACAAAGCGAAACTCCCGTCTCAAAAAAAAAAAAAAATTATTCGTAATTGGTAATATTAACAAGAAATTATGACTGGAGTCAGGACACCTGGATTCTGGTCCAAGCTCCTCTACCTTTAGAGTTGTCAAATATATATATATGATTAAGCCATTCAGCACGATCTCAACAAGAACAGCTTTGCTTTCCTTGGAGCGCTGCATCAATCCAGGAAGGCTGCTTTGTCACTTCACTACTTGAGCAGGATACGGAGACAAGAACAGGAAAGAAAGATGAGAAGTCTGAGAAAGCCCGCAAAGTAGGTTAATAGTGTGAAAAACATGGGCTGAGGCATCCAAATCTTGGCTCAGCTACCTACAGGGTAACCTTAAGAAAGTAAAGTTACTTAAACTTCTGTCAGCTCTAGATGCTGTAAGAATTATATGAGTAATATGAGCATGCCTGACATGTAATAATTGCACAATAAATATTAGACCCTGTTCCTGTTTTTTACCCTGAGCCGTTTCAAATCTTCATAAGGATAATTAATAGCAGTTTGAGTTCTGGGATTCACACTCCGAAGTAGTTTTACTCACCCAGCTACCTTTTCCTGAAATACTACTGGAAAACCATACCTGTATCAGTTTAGCTCCATTATTTTACTTGAAGTGAATTCCTGGACCATCAGACATTAAACCAAGGCAAAAAAAAAAAAAAAAAGTCAATCCTGAGCTTTGCCCGCGTGCTCTTGTTGCATTGAACTTAGCACAGAACGTCAACACCAGAACAAAAAGATACCAAATTGCAGGGTTTATTGCCGGCGACCACGGAGGACTCACGTCTCTCCAACCCGTGGCAGAGAAAGAAGAGTGACTAGACCTTTTTATACCCACAAAACCACCTTGGGAGTGGGGGTGAGGAACGGAGATGGGAATGAAAGCTGTCAATCACCTCCTAGGTTGAGAGGAGGATGAGGAGGCTCCAGATATTCCAAGGCCAGGGGACTTTTGTCATTCCGATTGCCACTTAAGTGGTTTACAGAGGTCAAGGTAAACATTAGTTTATACATTATTTGGACAGGTGTGGGGGTCCATATAATTTTAGGTTACTTGGCGCCAGGATGGAATTATCTGGGGGTGCTTACTTTGGTAAGCAAAGGCCAGCAATTCTGGCAGTTACAGATAAGAGAAAGTATGCAGCTTGTCCTCTCTTTACATTTTGCAAGGTAATCTTAGTAGTTTACAGAAGCCATGGCTAGCAGTCATGGTGAGGAGAATGGAAACAGTTTTCTCATTTTAAAATGGCATTGTACTGGTTCTAATTCTAGGCCAGCTATATCACACTGTCTCTCTGTCTCTATATATTTCTTTCTTTCTTTTCGAGAAGGAGTATCGCTCTGTCACCCAGGCTGGAGTGCAATGGCACAATCTCGGCTCACTGCAACTTCCACCTCCTGGGTTCAAGCGATTCTCCTGCCTCAGCCTCCGAGTAGCTGGGAATACAGGCACGTGCCACCACACCCGGCTAATTTTTTGTATTTTTAATAGAGATGAGGTTTCAGCGTGATCCTGACCTCGTGATCCCGACTTTCTAGTCATGGATCTGCCTCCTCATAGGTAAAATTTGCAAAATATTACCCGCCCTGTGAGCCTTAGAGCTGCTACGGATTAAGTAAGAGAACAATGTTTATGAAAACGTTTTGTAAACTATACAAATGTGGCACATAATGTTGCCGGTAACTGTATGCAAACAATAAGACAACAAACGCAAAAGCCTTTTTAACTTGTTGCAGTTTTCCTGCTCCGTGTCCCTTGGTGAATGAGCAGCGTGCAGCGAGCGTGTGCGCGCAGCTGCGGTTCTCCATCAGTGGCACACTGCTCAGATTGCGGACCGGGGAAACCTCTATCGCGCGCCTGCCGCCTGCCGAGCAAAGCTCGCCGCTCCACTGGGGTCTGCCGGCTGTTGACTCCCTGCCAGAGTGAAACCCGAACTTCCGAGTCACGTGGCGCGCACAGACAAACCGGGCTGCTTCGGGTTTCTCGGAGCTTTCCCCCAGCTTCCCGCGGTTTATATTCTGGTGCTTACCCCTCCCTTTGGCCTGGCAGAACCCAATCCCCGCCTGACAAATAAGTCCTGCGGGCCGGACGCGGTGGCGCGCGCCTGTACTAAGGGGGAAGAATCGCCTGAGCCCGCAGGTTGGGGCTGCATGAAACCGTGATCCCGCCACCGCACTCCAGCCTGGGAGACAAAGTGAGACCCCGTCTCCAAAAATAATAATAAAGAAAAAAAAAAAAAAGAACTGCGGCCCCATTGGCCTGACTCTCCAGACAGCCTACCTGTCTCTGACCACTTACTGAGGAGGCGGCCTTCAGAGGGTAGTGCCATTGGCTCGATGTCCTGCCCCTCCGAAACCTAAGTCTTCAGCTTCCAATCAGGACTCAGCTTTGGGAAGAGCTCCACTCGGTGGGCGAGGGGATGCTCCAGTAAACCCGCAAGTCTCTTTTCACTCCTTCCGCCTTTGTTTACAACCCTGCCATGATCTCCCTCTTGCAAAAGCGAGGGTTAGAGAACAGGCATTCAAGCGTCCTGTGCTCCAGTCACAGCTTTCTCTATTCTTCCGCTAGGAGACACCAAACCCTCAGGAAAATTTACTCTACCTAAGAGAAACTGAGGCAGAAAGGGCGCGGCTACCTACTTCTTAAATTCCGTTTGTGGACGCTCAGACTCTTAGTCCCCTACGGCCCTATCGTGGCTCCTGACAAGGTGGCACCCACTTTTCTAGTGTAAGGCTGGGGGCGGGGTTTGGCTGGGCAGGTCCAGGATACGAGATCCTGGAAGAAAGAAAAGGTGTAGTGTTATGAGCGGTCAACGGGCTACGCTGGCTTGACAGGGCTGAGCTCTTCAGAACAGGTAATGCTTGGAGGGTCTGTTTGTCTGAACCTGAGGGATAGGGCTGAAGGTGAAATATCCAGGGGACAGGCGAGGGGGCTGTGCAAGTGAGGAGCGGGGGTTGGATAATGGAAGAGGGAGCAGAGGAGCCCAGAAGCTGTAGGGGGTAGGGAGCAGCCATCATTCCCTTTCTGCAACCCTTGGTCCCACATGCCTTCCTGCAGAAACATGGATCTCGGAATCCCTGACCTGCTGGACACGTGGCTGGAGCCCCCAGAGGATATCTTTTCAACAGGATCCGTCCTGGAGCTGGGACTCCACTGCCCTGCTCCAGAGGTTCCAGTGACTAGGCTACAGGAACAAGGATTGCAAGGCTGGAAGTCCAGTGGGGACCATGGCTGTGTGAGTGTGACCAGTGGGCGTGGGGGTGGGGTGAGACACAGCTCTGATGAGGCTTCAGCTCCCATGTGGAGACGGGTCTGAAAACCGACCATGCCCAGAACAGATGTAAGTTGTATAGTAACTATCTCCATGCCCAAGAAGTGAAAGGACTGAAAATGAAGCATAAGGCTGGTGTCAGGGAGGACTTCCACAATACCTCCCTGCACATAGATAACCTTTTCCTACTGCAGGGCCTTCCAGAGAGTGAGCCTGAAGATTTCCTGAAGCTCTTCATTGATCCCAATGAAGTGTACTGCTCGGAAGCATCTCCTGGCAGTGACAGTGGCATCTCTGAGGACCCCTGCCATCCAGACAGTCCTCCTGCCCCCAGGGCAACCAGTTCTCCTGCCGTCTATGAGGTTGTCTATGAGGCAGGGGCTCTGGAGAGGATGCAGGAGGGAGCTGGGCCAAATGTAGGCTTCATCTCCATCCAGCTAGGTCAGTGTTCTTCGTGGGAAGGGGAAATGGCCCTTTGGAACTGGCCCTAACCATGGGGTTAAGGGGGTTTACCCAACCTGTGCCGCTACCCAGACCCTGCTGCTGTCAGGGTGTCCCTACATCTCCTTTCTCCCAGCTACCTGTGTCTACTCCAGATCAGTGGAGCCCAGCATTTATGGTGCCTGATGCCTGCATGGTCAGTGAGCTGCCCTTTGATGCTCATGCCCACATCCTGCCCAGAGCAGGCACCGTAGCCCCAGTGCCTTGTACAACCCTGGTGAGTCTTGGTGTCTGTCAGAACGACTACTCCTTGATACACACATATGTCATTACAAAGACAGGGCAAAGGGATGAGGGAATGGAAACATGATGAACTGCCTTTGCCCCAGTTTTTGTGGCATTGGGCCTGAAGATCAAGAGATATGAACAATTGGACAATTTTTAATTTTTATTTATCTTTTATTTTTCGTGAGACAGAGTCCCCACTGGGTGCGGTGGATCACGCCTGTAACACCAGCACTTTGGGAGGCTGAGGCGGGTAGATTACAAGGTCAGACGTTTAAAACCAGCCTGGCCAACATGGTGAAACCCCATCTCTACTGAAAACACACAAAAAATTAGCTGGGCGTGGTGGTGCGTGCCTGTAATCCCAGCTACTCAGGAGGCTGAAGCCTGAGAATTGCTTGAAATTGGGAGGTGGAGGTTGCAGTGAGCTGAGATCTCACCACTGCACTGCAGCCTGGGCAACGGAGTGAGACTCTGTCTCAATAAAAAAAAAAAAAAAAGGGAGTCACTCTGTCACTAGGCTGGAGTGCAGTGGGGTATTCTCCGCACACAGCAACCTCTGACTCCCTGGTTCAAGTGATTCTCCTGCCTTAGCCTCCTGAGTAGCTGGGATTACAGGCACTCACCACCATGCCCAGCTAATTTTTCTATTTTTAGTAGAGACAGGGTTTCACCATGTTGGCCAGAATGACCTCGATCTCCTGACCTTGTGATCTGCCCACTTTGGCCTCCCAATTTTTTATTTTTTGAGCCAGGGTCTTACTCTGTTGTCCAGGATGGACTGCAGTGGTGCAATCATGGCACACTGCATCCTCAACCTCTTGGGATCAAGCAGTCCTGCTTGCCTCAGCCTCCCAAAGTGGTGAGATTACAGCCATGACCCACTGTGCCCAGCCAACATGAACAATTTTAGAAGCAGGAAAAGGACAAGGGAGAGAGAGCCCTTGGGGGTAAGGTAGCAACGACTCAGGTAAGGTAGGGTGAGGCAATCTGGGGACGGGGTGCAGGAAGAAGCGCAGACTGTGTGTGTTGTATTCTTACACAGAGCCATTGTCCCGGCCTTGGGTCAGGACACAGAAATAGGACAGGCCACCTGGGAATCCCAGCTGGTTACTAGGTACAGGAAGGAAGAAAAGCAATAGCAGCAATGTTTCCACTGGAACCGTTGCCCAGAAGGCACCCAATGTCTAGTGCTACAGTGTAGCAGAGGTATCACATCAGATGCCTTCTCAAGGCCGGCTGGCCAGGGTCCAAGGTGGGGTAAAGATGGGGCTGTGCTCAGATCACTGTTCCTCCCTTTCCTCTGAAAATCAGTCCTCGTACCCAAAAGGCAGGGACCAGGTCCTAGCCTCTCTTCAAGAAGCCAAGCCAAGCATCTTAGAATTTTTTTCTTTTTTCTTTTTTTGAGATGGAGTCTGGCTCTGTCATCAGGCTGGAGTTCAGTGGTGTGATCTCTGCTCACTGCAACCTCCGCCTCCCGGGTTCAAGCGATTCTCCTGGCTCAGCCTCCCGAGTCGCTGGGACTACAGGTGTGCACCACCACACCCAGCTAATTTTTGTATTTTTAGTAGAAACGGGGTTTCACCATCTTGGCCAGGATGGTCTCAATCTCTTGACCTTGTGATCTACCTGTCTTGGCCTCCCAAAGTGCCAGGATTACAGGCGTGAGCCACTGTGCCCAGCACATCTTAGAATCTTGAGCTGAGAAACTTTTAAAAGTCTGATGCTCCTAAGTTTGGGTGTATATTAGAAGCACCATAGTATTTGTAAATGCTTTGCTATTTATTTATTGTAGAGACAGTCTCACTACATTGCCCAGGTTGGTCTCAAATTCCTGGCCTCAAGCAGTCCTCTGGTCTTGACCTCCAAAAGTGCTGGAATTATAGGTGTGAGCCACCTTGGCCATACTTTTTTTTTTTCTTGAGATGGAGTCTCGCTATTGCCCAGGCTGGAGTGCAGTGCCATGATCTCAGCTCACTACAACCTCCAACTCCTGGGTTCAAGGGATTCTCCTGCCTCAGCCTCCCAAGTAGCTGGGATTACAGGCACATGCCAGCATACCCGGCTTATATTTAGTATTTTTAGTAGACAGGGGGTTTCACAGTGTTAGCCAGGATGGTCTCGATCTCCTGACCTTGTGATCCGCCTGTCTTGCCCTCCCAAAGTGCTGGGATTTACAGGCATGAGCCACTGCGACCACCCTTTTTTTTTTCTTAAAGATAAAAAAAAAAAGTCCCATTCTCAGAGATTTTGATTAGGTGGACTAGAAGAGACACTCCTCTAATAGTTCCACCAGTCACGGGGACAAGAAGGGCATATCAGGAAATGCCACATAGGAAATGGTTTTGCCAAAAGCCAAAGGCCATGAGCAGGCAAAAACCAAAATAAATTCTCTTTAAGTCACAAAATGGGCTGGGGGCGGTGGCTCAAGCCTATAATCCCAGCACTTTGGGAGGCCAAGGCAGGTGGATCATGAGGAGGTCAAGAGATCGAGACCATCCTGGTCAACATGGTGAAAGCCCGTCTCTGCTAAAAATACAAAAAATTAGCTGGGCATGGTGGTGCGTACCTGTAATCCCAGCTACTCAGGAGGCTGAGGCAGGAGAATTGCCTGAACCCAGGAGGCGGAGGTTGCGGTGAGCCGAGATCGCGCCATTGCACTCCAGCCTGGGTAACGAGCGAAACTCTGTCTCAAAAAATAATAATAATAAAATAAAAATAAGCCACAAAATGAAGGATACAGCTTGCTTTCTTTTTTTTGTTCGAGTCAGAGTTTCGCTCTTGTTGCCCAGGCTGGAGTACAGTGGCAGGCATGATCTTGGCTCACTACAACCTCTGCCTTCCGGATTCAAGAGATTCTCCTGCCTCAGCCTCCTGAGTAGCTGAGATTACAGGCGCCCACGACCACGCCCAGCTAATTTTTGTATTTTTAGTACAGATGGGGTTTTGCCATGTTGGCCAGGCTGGTCTCGAACTCTTGACCTCAGGTGATCCGCCCACTTTGGCCTCCCAGAGTGCTGAGATTACAAGTGTGAGCCACCGTGACTGGCCACATACGTCTTTCAAAAACAAATATTAGTGAGAAAGGCAAGTTACTCAGTTGATGGGCTCAGGTTAACCACCAGCACCATCTACTCTCCCTACATCCTTTCCTGTGATTTGCTGTGAGAAGTATGGCTGCCCTTGGGAAGGTCTTTGTCTGACAGGGGTACAGAACCTTAGTCTGAGAAGTGGAGCTCCAGACCCTAGGGGAGAATGGGCCACTGGCCCAGGGAGCTCCCTGTGGTTGGCAGGCAGCTGGATAACACACATTGCTAAATGGAAGTTAATGGCTCAAAGTGAATATAGTACTTGCTGTAAGGAAATTAAGCAAACTTCACTGTAGTGAGTTCTTTCAGGTCCTCTTCAGATACCCCTTCTGTATGGGGAGACGTGGACCAGAACAAGCCTTCTCTAGCTTGCTCAGAGTGCTAAGGTCCTAAGTCTCTGGGGGAAGGATATGACAAGACCCTCCTCTTTCCCTTCTCGGCTTCAGGAGGTCCCTCTGGCTTGATCTAGAGCCTGTCTGAATTAAGGTCTCTAGCCTTCACCTCACCTCTAGGTTAGAGTTGTCTCCCAGGGCAAATAGGAAACTCTCCAGAAGGCATGCAGGGGGAGGAGCCTGGAAATGGGATGAACCTCCTCCTCACTGCTATTGTATCTTCTCCTGCCCCTACCCCCAGCTGCCCTGTCAAACCCTGTTCCTGACAGATGAGGAGAAGCGTCTGCTGGGGCAAGAAGGGGTTTCTCTGCCCTCTCACCTGCCCCTCACCAAGGTAACATGCTTCCCCTAAGGGTATCCCAACCCAGGGGCCTCACCATGACTTCTGAGGGGCCAATATCCCAGGAGAAGTGTTGGGGAGTTGGGGGCAGGTGAAAGACCCAGGATTCACACATCCTGGGCCTCCAGGCAGAGGAGAGGGTCCTCAAGAAGGTCAGGAGGAAAATCCGTAACAAGCAGTCGGCTCAGGACAGTCGGCGGCGGAAGAAGGAGTACATTGATGGTCTGGAGAGCAGGTATGCCTGGGTTACTTCCGGCTTCCTGTGGACCATGTCTGGGCCCCTTCCTCAGCACAGCTGGCAAATTAAGGGACTCAGGTTGCTGAGCCTTGTCCCACCGCCCCACACTCCAGGGTGGCAGCCTGTTCTGCACAGAACCAAGAATTACAGAAAAAAGTCCAGGAGCTGGAGAGGCACAACATGTGAGTGAGAGCTCTGTGTGGGTGTGTACTGAAGGCAGGGAGGGCACAGCACACAGGGGCACCGTTCTTGGCCCCTGGTACCCAGAAGATCCTAACTCTTCATTCTTCCTTTCCCAGCTCCTTGGTAGCTCAGCTCCGCCAGCTGCAGACGCTAATTGCTCAAACTTCCAACAAAGCTGCTCAGACCAGCACTTGTGTTCTGGTACCACCAGTCTATCTACTCCCATCTCCCCCCACCTCCACCATCTCACCCACATTTCTATCCTTACACCCCCACTACCCGGCCAGATCTACTTCCCACATTCCATAACCCCAGCTGGCCTCTGTTCACTCTGCCCTACTCCCTTCCTCTATTCCTCTTGCTTCCTCCCAGATTCTTTTTTCCCTGGCTCTCATCATCCTGCCTAGCTTCAGTCCATTCCAGGGTCGACCAGAAGCTGGGCCTGAGGATTACCAGCCTCATGGAGGTGAGAGGCAAGGGCAGAGAGCAACCCCTGGCTGAGCAAGGGAGGGGGGCTCCATTCTCCAAGGTCCTCAAGAAGCAAGAGGGAGGTCCTGTCCTGTCTAGGGTATCCCGCCCAAGGGAGCATTCTACTAGTGCCTTCTTTCCTTCACCTCACAGTGACTTCCAGAAATATCCTGACCCACAAGGACATAACAGAAAATCTGGAGACCCAAGTGGTAGAGTCCAGACTGAGGGAGCCACCTGGAGCCAAGGATGCAAATGGCTCAACGAGGACACTGCTTGAGAAGATGGGAGGGAAGCCAAGACCCAGTGGGCGCATCAGGAACGTGCTGCATGCAGATGAGATGTGAGCTGGAACAAACTTTCCCAGCCCACTTCCCAATCACAAGGAGGAATCCTGGGCTTCCTTATGGCTTTGCTTCCCACTGGGATTCCTACTCAGGTGTCTGCCCTAAGGGGTCCAAATCACTTCAGGACACCCCAGGAGACGTCTTTTAGTCTCTCTCTGCCTGAGGCCCAGTCTGCAGTCCATGAGAGGGTACCTCAAATACTTTTGTTAATGTATCTGTGATTTTATTTCTTCTTTGGGGATAGAGTTGAGGGGAAATAAGTCTTGAGTGAGAAATAAACATTTTAACTGAAATTGTATCCCAGAAGTTTGAAATAAGTAGAAGAGGGGGGAAAACAAGGAGAAAGTGGTGGGGAAGACTTCGTAGATCGGGGCCTTAAGTAGCTGCCTCCTGACTTCCTAATCCAAGTTACAGAAGGGAAGGAAACTATTTTATTCTTTTTATTCTGCTCATTAATGATCTGGAAGAAGATGGGGAAAAGGGGCTATCATCACAAGGCTTCAAAGAACCAAGGGTGCACATCAGTCCATTTCACTTTCACATCAGTCCATTTCACTTTCACTGTCTGAGATCAGGTCTCTAAGACCCAGGATAAAAGGGTATAATGTAGCTATATGGACTCGATCTGCTTCCGGACCTTTTCCAGAGCTTTTCTGTCCAGCTGTCGCTGACGAATGATGACAAGACAAGCGAAGATCAGGGCCACACACACAACAGCCCCTTCGAACTTCCAAAACAAGCGTTGTTCCATCAGAGCTGAGCGGCAGCTGAGGGCAGGAAAGAATAGTTATTCCTGGGGAAGGCCAGAAAGCTTCTCCCTCTAATCTCCCTTCCACTTCAGCCTAGCCAGGATACATTCAAAAGGAAATCACAGCCAGGCTTCTACTATGTGTGTAGTACATAAATTCCTCTCAGATAGATCATTTAATTTATTCTCTGGTGGAATAAGCAGAGCTTGTATTCACCAATGTTACTGATGAGAAAATATGGCCAATAACAGTGCTGAGGAGTAGAGCTGGGACTTGTGTTCAAATAATTTGGCTTCAAATCTGGTCTTTTTTTCTTCTTCTTTTTTTTTTTTTTTTTTTGAGATGGAGTCTCACTCTGTCGCCAGGCTGGACTGCGGTGGTGCAGTGTTGGCTTACTGCAACCTCCACCTCCTGGGTTCAAGAGATTCTCCTGCCTCAGCCTCCTGAGTAACTGGGATTACAGGCATGTGCCACCACACCCAGCTAATTTTTGTAGTTGTTTTTTTAGTAGAGATGGGGTTTCACTATGTTGGCCAGGATAGTCTTGATCTCTTGACCTTGTGATCCACCTGCCTTGGCCTCCCAAAGTGTTGGGATCACAGGCGTTAGCCACTGCACCCGGCCTCTTCTTTTTGGAGACACAGTCTCACTCCATTGCCCAGGGTGGAATGCGGTGGCATGATTTCGGCTCACTCTAATCCCTGCCTCCCAGGTTCACAGGATTCTCCTGCCTCAGTCTCCCGAGTAGCTGGGATTACAGATGCCTGCCATGCCACATGGCTTTTTTTTTTTTTTTTTTTTTTTTTTAAGACAGATTGTCACTCTGTTGCCCAGGCTGGAGTGCAATGGCACTATCTTGGCTCACTGCAACCTCCACCTCCCGCGTTCAAGTGACTCTCCTGCCTCAGCCTCCTGAAGAGCTGGGATTACTGGCATGCTCCAGCATAGCCAGCTAGTTTTTTTTGGCATTTTTAGTAGAGACAGGGTTTCAGCATGTTGGTCAGGCTGGTCTCAAACCCCTGAGCTCGTGATCTGCCTGCCTCGGCCTCCCAAAGTGCTGGGATTACAGGTGTGAGCCACTGTGCCCAGCCCCCTCTTCTTTCAAATATTCCATGCTAACCCCAGACCAGGGGAAAAGGTGTGACCATCTACCTAAAGTCATGGGAACAAAGAAGGTGTTCTCCAAGAAGAGAAACAGCACTCACCTTTTGAACTCATTTCTCTTAGATGAGCTGCATGTGATTTTCTCCACGTACCCTGTGGGACCACACTCGGGGGTGGTTTTCTGCCAGGAGGAAAGGACCAAAACACATATTACGAAGGGGCAATGGGAGAAGCAAAAAGGTGCAGATACCCAACTGCTATGCTTTGGAGTTGGTAGGCAACAGAGAGCTAATGAAAGAGTTCTGATGTGGACGGTGGAGGTGGCGGTTGCATGATTACAAATGTATGTTAGAACACTTCAGGGGCAACAGTCTAGGAGAGGCAGGGCATTCCATTCCAGAGCATACTATACTAAAAATGAGTGAAACATAGTTATCAGTTGAGGCCGGGGGCGGTGGCTCATGCCTGTAATCTCAGCACTTTGGGAGGCTGAGGTGGGTGGATCATTTGAGGTCAGGAGTTTGAGACCAGCCTGACCAACATAGTGAAACCCCATCTCTACTGAAAATACACATAACTCAATCAAGGCAATTGCAGGTGGGGGAAAAAAAAAAAAAAAAGGATGAAAAAAGAAAAAGAAAAGACAAAAATTAGCCAGGCGTGGTGGCATGCCTGTAGTTCCAGCAACTCGGGAGGCTGAAGCAAGAGAATAGCTTGAAATGGGCAGGCGGAGGTTGTGGTGAGCTGAGATTTGCACCACTGCACTCCAGCCTGGACAACAAGAGCGAGACTCCGTCTCAAAACAACAACAACATAGTTATCAGTTGAATACTGCCGTTAGCTTGGAAAGAAAGGGGCATATTTCGGGGGAAACATGAGTACAGATTTGGACATACACTGAGACTGCAAGGAGAAGGAAAAAAAGATGATGCAAAGGCAGCTTAATAAGACCTGGGGACTGTTTAGATGTTAAAAATAAATGTAGAATACTCACAGCCTGGAAACTAGAGCATGGAGAGCACTCTTCTGACACCACAAACTCTCCCACCAGCCAGCATGGCAAATTTGAGGTGCTCACTGAAAGGAAAGTGAAATGCCAACCCCTGACCATTCGGAAAACATTTCTCCCAAAGGCTCTGCCCATCTAACTTCCCAGCACAGGGCTTGCCCTCAGTCCATGTGGTGCCGCCCTTTTCCACCTTTGCTCTTGGTATATGGGGAAGATACTAAAACCAAAACCAAACGACGGAAGTGTCGGGTTCCCAGAAAATCACCCACCTGACAGCTTCTCCTCCAGCACTGGAGCCTCTGCTTGGCTGTAGCGGAGTTGGGGGAAAGGGCAAAAATCAATATCCAGAAAATAGGACACCCCCTTCTTCTCTGTCCATGGACAAGGTCTCCCCCAACCCCGGGACCGGGAACGATTCTGTCCTCCAGTGACCTCCTTTTCCCTCCCATTACCCTCTCCTTACCAGAGCTTTAAGGTGAAAGCACAGAGCAACCAGCAGAGGCGGCGGCCCTGGGGGAGGCCATGCCTCCCCGCGCCCGCAGGCATGGAGCGCCCAGTGTCGCACCTGTCGGAACAGAGGGACCTACTCCACCGGCCTCGTGCCTCCGTCGGAGCGCAGAGGCTGCACTTACTCTGCAGCCCTCCCAGAGGTTCCAGGTCAGGGCGGGAAAGGCCGGAGTTGCCTAACGGGCAGAGGTTCTATCGGGACATCCCCGTCGCCACAGCTAGAAAAATCTTCACGCATTTGCCGGCTAGGCAGGCGAGCGCCTTCTGCGCGGCCAGCAGGGCGCCAGACGAAGCGCCGGTGGGGACGCGCGGCCCTAGCGCCTGCTCACCTCCGCTTCCGCCCCCGACGCAACCATCTTGACCCGTGGAGGATTGCCTTTTCGCGGGGCCAGTGTTCCCAGGCACGTCGAGTAGACGCCCGCTGGGGCTTGTAGTCTTCCGCGGTCGGTAGCGCCTCGCCCGCTGCTCCCTGGGAATGGACTCGGCGCCCCATTGCATTATGGTCCCGGTAGTCTTTGCGAGAAACGGCCAATGGCGGTTGCCCAGGCTCGTCTGGATTCTCAGCTCGGCGCTCCCTGGCTGGCGCCTGTTTGTTCATTCTGGGCTAGGTGAGCAGGGACGGTACGTCGCCCTCTCAGAACTTTGCTCTCTCCTTTTTAATTTTTTATTTATTTGAGACGGAGTTTCGCTCTTGTTACCGAGGCTGGAGTGCAATGGCGCGATCTCGGCTCACCGCAACCTCCGCCTCCTGGGTTCAGGCAATTCTCCTGCCTCAGCCTCCTGAGTAGCTGGGACTACAGGTGCGCACCACCATGCCCAGCTAATTTTTTGTATTTTTAGTAGAGACGGGGTTTCACCATATTGACCAGGATGGTCTCGATCTCTTGACCTCGTGATCCACCCTCCTCGGCCTCCCAAAGTGCTGGGATTACAGGCTTGAGCCACCGCGCCCGGCTTGCCCCCTCCTTAAAACCCTAGGAGTCATCATCAACTTCAGCTTCTCTGACATCCTTCCCCAGTCGACCCCGATGGTCCAGTGGAGAGGCTGTGTTGGAGGTCAAGGGATGAAGGCGAAACTGCGCTTTCTTGTCCCTACAGAAGTGGAAATATCCGAGACACACGGCGAACGTGAAACTTCCTTCTTGTCTGAGCGCTCCCACTCCGCTACACAGATGAACGGTGTCACCTTCCCTCATGTTACTTGCTAAGTCTACTCCGCAGAGCTAGTCCTTTGCATAACCTCTTAAAATATCCTCAACTCTCCCTTGCTCCTGCTTAATGGAGTAATAAGTGCAATGAGAAAGGCATGAGATTTGAAGTTCCAAGAAGTGGTGGTTATTAACTCCACGATCTTAGGATAGTATCTTTCTCTCAATGTTCTGTGTAAAACGGGATGCAAGTGTGCATTTATCAGTACTTTTTCTTGCGAGAGACAAATGAAATGTATCTCCGTTTTATGAATAAGTTCAGAGAGTACAAGTGACTTGTCCAAGGTCAGCAAGTTAGTGAGTGGGAAAGCTGAGGCTTGAGCCTAGACTGTCAACCCAAGCCAAAGATTCATACCTACCTTTCATTGCATGGAGTTATGCCTTGATATACACTCAGACCTGCAGTGACTTGATAAGCACTCTGGGTTCATATTTTACTGTCTGATAATGTATTTTCACTTAATTTTATTTTTTTCAGACAGGGTCTCACTCTGTCACCCAGGCTGGAGTGCAGTGGTGGGATCTGAGCTCACTGCAACCTCCTCCTCCTGGGTTCAAGTGATCCTCCCACCTCAGCCTCCCAAGTAGCTGGGACCATAGGCGAGTGCCATCGTGCCTGGCTAATTTTTTGTAGTTTTGGTAGAAACAAGGTTTTGCCATGTTTCCCAGGCTGATCTGGAACTCCTGAGTTCAAGGGATCCACCTGCCTCCACCTCAGCCTTCCCAAAGTGCTGGGATTACAGGCATGAGCCACCATCCTAGGCCTTGGTAATGTATTAATCACTACCCTAATTCTTCCCTAATTTGCCTCCTAGTTTCACATGTATGTGTTATCTGCAGCCTCCTAAGACATTGGGACCATGTGATTTTAGTTTTCTTAGATGCTTGAGAGACAAGGAGGTACTTAAATAAACTTCATATAAACATGGACACTAATAAAATAATCTAGACCCCACCTTTGAAGATCAAAGGGCTTATTTCCATATTTTTTTGTTAACTCTGCTCCATATTCTCCTCCCCCAAGGCACCTTTCTGGGCTCAAGACTACTGCTTCTACCCTTCCCCACAGCTTCCCCACAGGTCTAAGGAATAGAACACTTTATTTTGGGAATAACAGTGTAACTGGCTGGGCACAGTGGCTCACACCTGTAATCCCAGCATTTTGGGAGGCTGAGGCAGGCAGATCACCTGAGGTCAGAAGTTTGAGACCAGCATGGCCAACATGGTGAAACCTCGACTCTACTAAAAATATAAAAACTGGACGTGGTGGCAGGTACCTGTAATCCCAGCTACTCAGGAGGCTGAGGCAGGAGAATTGCTTGAACACAGGAGGCAGAGATTGCAGTGAGCCAAGATCACACCATTGCATTCCAGCCAGGGTGACAAGAGCGAAACTCCATCTCAAAAAAAAAAACACCCAAAAAACAGTGTTTCTGATTTTTTGTCCCATAAATTCTATTTGTCTTCCCATCATGATCTACAGCTGGGTTCTCAAGAGTAGGAGCTATCAGACTGTGGAAAGGCCATTGAATGAGAGTCAAAAAAAATAAAATCCTGATGAGGTCTAAACTTTCATTTTGCCATTTTTCGTTTCTTTGCTTGCTTTTTTTTTTTTTTTTTTTTGAGATGGAGTTTAGCTCTTGTTACCCAGGCTGGCGTGCAATGGCACATTCTTGGCTCACCGCAACCTCTGCCTCCTGGGTTCAGGCAATTCTCCTGCCTCAGCCTCCTGAGTAGCTGGGATTACAGGCACACACCACCATGCCCAGCTAATTTTTTGTATCTTTAGTAGAGACGGGGTTTCACCATGTTGACCAGGATGGTCTCGATCTCTTGACCTCGTGATCCACCCGCCTCGGCCTTCCAAAGTGCTGGGATTACACTTCGGGCGTGAGCCACCGTGCCTGGCCTAAATATATATTTAAATTGCTCAATATACATCTGTGAATATAAACGTCTCATTTTCCACACCAATAAAAGCAGATATTAATGCCTATCAAATACCTAAATGGATTGCTGGCAGAATCAAGAAGCTTGCAAAAATCACTGGATAAACACGAGGGGCAATTATGTCCCTGAGGCTAGGGCTGTCAGTCCTTCCCTCTTGGAAGTTCTATTGCTCAGGACAAGGCTCTGCCCACAAAGGCATCCAGACCCCACAGTGGAAAGAGGATATCCAGACCTTCACTTTATCTCCTGCTGTTTACTATTTTCCTTACCAACTGAACAGTGGGGAAGAGACAGGGGTAGGATTAGTCCTGGTTCCACAGAAACCCAGCCTGATTGAGGTAGATCAAACACTTTGGAGACAAAATAATTGGATTTGTGTGGAGAACAATTCTGACGATAATCCAAGTACCCAAACCAGGAACATTTATGCAAACGGTGGCCTTTAATACCAAGAAAGACCATGAAAAGTGACAGAACAGGAGCAAATCTTCAGAGTCGTGCCGAGCCAGCCGTTTGCAGGACGCTAAACCCTGATGTAGTAACAGAATAATCAGTGTGTTTACATTTATGTTTGCTCTGAAAACCCAGGTAAGGTCTGAAGCCTGAGGCCATCTCCCCTTCCTTTCCTCCTCCCTGTCTTCCTGCCTCCTCACCTCCTTTCACTTGCTCAATTTTTCCCTTCCCTTCCCTTCTCCCTACCTCTCTCTTCTTTCTTTTCTGCTTTTCCCTTTTCTCCATTTTCTCCTCATTCTCTTTACCATCTACCTGTCTGTCCCTGCAAGCCCCTCTGCTATTACTCCCCTGCTCACTGCCTCTGTCCTGTTCCCTCAGGTTCAGCTTCCAGGGTGAGGAGGCGAGAAAGGGTCCTCAGCCCAGGGAGCACTTGGTGGTGGTCTTCTTGTCGCAAGTTTTCAGGTCAGTACTGGGAGGCTTGTTGCTGTTTCCCTAGAGGGAGAAGGGCACAGGGGTCATGGTGTGAATGGCTGGTTAGGGCATAAATCGTTTGAAGTGAATCTACCTTCATGAGAAATCTTAGCATTGCTCCTCTCCTCAGTTTTTACCAACACACACACACACACACACACACACACACCCCAAAGTTGTACCTAGCCCAGCAAAACCAACTTACTGATCTCCGGCCTCCTGACTTGAGCAAGATGTCCCGGGCCAGGGAACTAAAAGCCTAAAGTGGGGAATAGAGTCAGTTTGGAGGGGAGGAGAATCTACCTTCCCATACTTCCTCTCTTGGTAGGGGATGGGGGTGTGGAGCTCACCTCATCCACATTCATACTGGATTTAGCACTAGTTTCGAAAAATCGGATCCCATGCTCTCGAGCCAACTATAAGAGGTGAAGTGGGAAGGAGAAAATTGAAGGGCAGCAGCCAAGTCCTCTGCAGTGCCACCTCCTCTCAGCCCTCCCAGCCCATTTCTAGAACATTGCTCAGCCTGGCCCTCACCTTATTGGCCTGCTCCTTCTGCACTTTCCTCTTGGCCTCCATGTCACATTTGTTTCCTAGCAAGAGGCGCTCCACCCCAGCAGAGGCATTCTGAGGGAAGACACAAGTAAAAGTTAGATCCTGCCAGCCTGGCGCAGTGCCTCACGCGTGTAATCCCAGCACTTTGGGAGGCCAACATGGGCAGATCACGAGGTCAGGAGATCGAGACCATCCTGGACTTGGTGAAACCCTGTCTCTACTAAAATACAAAAAATTAGCCGGGTGTGGTGGCGCATGCCTGTAGTCCCAGCTACTCAGAAGCTGAGGCAAGGGAATTGCTTGAACCCAGGAGACGGAGGTTGCAGTGAGCTGAGATCGCGCCATTGCACTCCAGCCTGGCGACAGAGCAAGACTCCATCTCAAAATAAAAAAAAAGTTAGGTCCTGCCTATCCTGATGGACCCCTTCATCCTCCAAGTAGATGAACCTAGTTCCCCCATTTCTTTTGGAGGTCCTCACCTCCTTGATGCTTTTCATCCAGTTCTGAATATTCTCGAAAGATTTCTCATCCGTGATGTCGTATACTAGGATAATGCCCTGGGAGACAAAATTCACCTTGGACCACATTCCTGTTGAGGCTTCCCACTGCCCTGTAAGTGACCCTGCAAGTTCCACCCATGGCTCTAAACACTAGGCCATGTTGAGCCCGCTGCAATCCACACTGCCCCCCTCCCATTTTTACCTGCCCAACCCCTGACCCTTTATATCCATAATCCACATTCTGTGGCCTTCCCCCTTTGCCAGCCCCACACTTCATACCATGGCTCCACGGTAGTAGGCAGTCGTTATTGTCTTGAATCGCTCTTGGCCAGCCGTGTCCCTAAAGAAGGTTTCATGGGATGGAATAGAGGAAAGAATTCTCCAGTGGAGGAATTCTTCCTCTCTCACAAGAATTTAGCTTTTGCAATATGGTGGGACAAGAGAAGAAGGAAACCATAAAGGGGAATGGGATTAAAGACAATTGAGCTGATTTCCAGAGATGGTAGTGGCCCAAGAAAACAGATGTCTCTTGCTTATTCACTGAATGCTTGCTATGTATCAAGCACTGTGTATGTGTGATTTTACCTAATTTTTTTTTTTTTGAGACAGAGTTTTGCTGTTGTTACCCAGGCTGGAGTGCAATGGCACGATCTCGGCTCACCGCAACCTCTGCCCCCTGGGTTCAGGCAATTCTCCTGCCTCAGCCTCCTGAGTAGCTGGGACTACAGGCATGCACCACCATGCCCAGCTAATTTTTGTATTTTTAGTAGAGACGGGGTTTCACCTTGTTGACCAGGATGGTCTTGATCTCTTGACCTCGTGATCCACTCCCCTCAGCCTCCCAAAGTGCTGGGATTATAGGCGTGAGCCACCGCGCCCGGCCCGATTTTACCTAATTCTTACTCTCTCCTTGTAAGACAAGTATTATTGTCCCTATTTTAGAAATGAGGAAACATGCCAGGTGCAATGGCTCATGCCTGTAATCACAGCACTTTCGGAGGCCGAGGTGGGTGGATCACCTGAGGTCAAGAGTTTAAGACCAGCCTGGCCAACATGGTGAAACCCTGCCTCTACTAAAAATACAAAAAATTAGCTGGACGTGGTGGCAGGTGCCTGTAATCCCAGCTATTTGGAAGGCTGAGGCAGGAGAATTGCTTGAACCCAAGAGGCAGAGGTTGCAGTGAAGCAAGATTGCTCCACCACACTTCAGCCTGGATTACAAGAGCAAAACTCCGTCTCAAAAAAAAAAAAAAAAAAAAAAAAAAGCCCGGTGCAGTGGCTCAAGGCTGTAATAATCCAAACACTTTGGGAGGCCAAGGCAGGTAGATAAGAGGTCAGGGCTTCAAGACCAGCCTGGCCAAGATGGTAAAAATACACAAAAATTAGCCGAGGGTGGTAGCGGGTGCCTGTAAACTACTCAGGAGGCTGAAGCAAAGAATTGCTTGAACCTGGGAGGCGGAGGTTGCAGTGAACCGAGATCGTGCCATTATACTCCAGCCTGGGAGACAGAGCGAGACTCTCGTCTCAAGAAAAAAACAAAAGGTCGGGCACAGTGGCTCATGCCTATAATTCCAGCACTTTGGGAGGCCAAGGTGGATGGATCAAGAGGTCAGAAGTTCAAGACCAGCCTGGCCAACATGGTGAAACCCCGTCTCCAATAAAATACAAAAAATTAGCTGGACATAGCTTGTGCCTGTAATCCCAGCTACTCAGGAGGCTGAGGCAGGGGAATCGCTTGAGCCCAGGAGGCAGAGGTTGCAATGAGCCAAGATCACACCACTGCACTCCAACCTGACGCCAAAGACTCCATTTAAAAATAAAAAAAGAGGAAACAGATTTGGATAGGTTGAATAATTAATGAAGGTCAGGCAGCAGATAAGTAAAAGAACTGGATTTGAGCACCAGTCTGTGCAGATATGTCATAGCACAATGCCTCCGCTAAGCTTAGTATCACTTAAACACCTTCAGGGTCTGTACTTGGCTTTCTGGACTCACCATGTTTTGGAGAAAACACTAGACTTCGAGTCAAGTCTTAATTCCGCCAGTGCCATTTAACTGCTCACAGCCTGTTTCCACATTGTAACCCAACAGTTGTTTGTTGTCCAACTAAGAGAATGCTCTGCAGCCAGAGGGGGCAAGAGTTACAAAAAAACTGAAACTAGTTGAGAGGGCAGGAAGAGAGATGGAAGGACAGCTGAGTCCTTTTCCAAGAGAAATAGATTAGAAGTGCTAGAAAGAGCCACGGGGGCCGGGCGTGGTGGCTCACGCCTGTAATCCCAGCACTTTGGGAGACCGAGGCGGGTGGATCACAAGGTCAAGAGATTGAGACCATCCTGGTCAACAAGGTGAAACCCGTCTCTACTAAAAATACAAAACATTAGCTGGGCATGGTGGCGCGTGCCTGTAATCCCAGCTACTCAGGAGGCTGAGGCAGGAGAATTGCCTGAACCCAGGAGGCGGAGGTTGCGGTGAGCCGAGCCTGGGTAACAAGAGCGAAAATCTGTCTCAAAAAAAAAGAAAGAAAGAAAGAGCCATGGGGAAAGGAAGAGAAATGAAACAAAATAGAAGGAAAAGACTGTGGGAGGCAAATGGGGAAGTCCGGCTGGGCTTCCCAGGGATTCACTCACCAGACTTGCAGTTTGATCTTCTTCCCCTCTATATCCACAGTGCGGATCTTGAAGTCGATTCCTAGGGGTAGAGGGTGTGCACTGAAGTTGAGACATGCATGCACACATGTAAAACTGTGTGATGGGAGGGACAGGAACAGCAGTGTCAGCACCAGAAATTCTGCAGGGGAGGCACTTGGGGAGCAATCTTGTTGGAAATGCCAAGCTAAGAGAATTTTCCCAAAGCTGTATTTGTACAGCAAGAATACTATTTTTACTTATATTTTATGGATTTGGGGAGGGAGAAAGTGTGAAAATTCTGCATGGAGGCTTAAGATTCTTAAGCCACCTCTTGGGTCCATTCATATATGCCAGCTGACAACTCTCTGAATTCAGTCTCTCTCTCCCCCCAAAAATTACTTTCACATTCCTCTTTTCTGTTTTCTTAGAGCCTTCTACTATTGGTATGCCACCCGCCTTCCTCCAAAAGAGTAAGGAAACAAAGTAGCTGAAGCCAGTCTATAGCTATGAAGCCACCAGTGAATTAACTAGTGGGCCAAACTTGGCACTAGGAAAGTCTGAGGCTGAACAGGATTACTCTTGAGACAATTAGGAAAGAGGGGCATTTTTCCTTTTCCTTTGTAACCAGAATTGTCATGAGTCTTCCTATTTCCCAAGCCAGAGGAGATGAAGAAAAATGAGATGGGAGGAGGGGAGAGAGTGTTCTTCTTAATAGAAACTTGGGCACCTCCCCCAAGCCCGCTGGGGGCCTCTGGGAGGAGGATGAGTCACCAGGCTGACTCAGAGACCCCAAAAGTCCCCTCATTTCCATGTCCGTCACCAAGCTGGCTAAGCTACATATTCATGATCACAGTCCTTAGGCCACCCTCCAGTACACCCAGCCACCTTGTTCCACTCTTCCCAAACTCCTGTTCAGCTGAGGTGCAGGAAGAGTGGGGTCGGAAAACTGGGAAGTAGATGGAGAGGTGGGGCGCAGTGGGAGAGTTTGAAGTTCAGCAGGACTGAAAGAGGCTGGTGGATCTGGAGAAAAAGATGTGTTCCAGAGGGATAGAGGAAATGCGGAGAGCGGATCGAGAGAGTTCTAGGTGGTGAGGATGGGGAAGAGGGGCTTAGAGGAAAATAGAGAAGAGTTCTTGTGGATTTGGAGAGGCTAAGGAGATGGTACCAAGAAAATGAGGGGCTGGCAGCATTTGAAGTGTTACCTGAAGGCCTCAAAGAGGTGAGAGGTTTGGTTAACTATACAGAGACATGCAGGGGGAGGGGTCAGAGCCAGGGGTTGAGGAACTAGAATTTAGGAGCCTTACTGTAAGGGGACTGATAAGTGGGGTCACTAGTAAACCGGGAGCCTGAGAATGAGGTCACAGGAGAGTCGGGGTCTGGGACATGGCCAGCGGGCTCACCGATGGTGGAGATGTAAGTGTTGTTGAAGTTGTCCTCTGCAAAGCGAATGATCAGACAAGTCTTGCCCACCCCCGAGTCCCCGATCAGCAGCAACTTGAAGAGGTGGTCGTAGGCTTTGGCCATGGCGGACACCGGGGGAGCCGGGGGTGGGGTGGGGAGCTCCTGGCACTGGTAGGCGGGATTGGACGGTTGGCAAACAGCGGCACGGAGCCCTGGCCAGGAAGTTTTCCTCCCTCTCCGCCCAGGCTCCGGGAAAGAGGAGAGGCGGCACTCCTCCGGGCTCCACCCCCTGCCCGCCCACCCTTTCGGGCCGGCCAAGGCGGCCAGTCTGGCCTCTGTTCTCTCAGACGGAGAGAAATTTTAGAGGGATTGGGGAAGGGAAAAGAGTTTTGGAAATATGGGTGAAGATAGGAAGGGCACTAGAAACTGACAAAAATTTGGGGCTGAATTTTGGAGGTGCTATTCAGCGAAGCCAGGAGATTAGTTATGATCGGTTTCCGGGGCCGAGTAAAAGGCAGTCCTAGAATTTTAGTGTTAGTGGTCCAAGCCCTTAGTTCTATGGATCCCAATTCCCTTTGAAAAAAGCGGGATGGGCAGTAGTAGGTTATTTGTTGGGTCAGTCTGCCCCCTGGTGGAAAAGGATGAAAACGTAAATTAGTTATAGAGAATCGGCCCTATCACCCCAACACACACAGCCTCACCTAGACACATCCTGGGGCTTCAGTTGAAACGATCTCCCTAATGGGGCCCCATGTGTGACTTCACTGACCAAATAGCTTAGGAAAACAGAGATTTGAACTAAAAATGTCATTCTCCACATGGATCTTTTAATACGGCCTGTTAAGGTGCAGTATTCCTGAAACCTCACTCAGTAGGCTGTGAATGTGTAGCCTTGGTAACCAGAAAGCTGAAAATGGACAGCATGGCTATAAAGAAACAAGTTTATCTCTGCCTTTATTATTTATTTATTTATTTATTTTAAAGATGGGGTTTCACCATGTTGGTCAGGCTGGTCTTGAACTCCCGACCTCAGGTGATCCACCCACCTTGGCCTCCAAAGTGCTTGGATTATAGGTGTGAGCCACTATGCCCAGCCTCTGCCTTTAGAAAAAATTATTCTTGCTATATGTGTGCTGGGGGTGAAAAATTTACAAAAAAGAAAGAAAGAAAAAATGATTTAAGACCCAGTGTGGTGGCTCACGCCTATAATCTCAGCACTTTGGGAGGCCTAGCGGGGTGGATTACAAGGTCAGGAGATTGAGACCATTCTGGCTAAAACAGTGAAACCCCACATCTGCTAAAAATACAAAAAATTAGCTGGACATGGTGACAGGTGCCTGTAGTCCCAGCTACTTGGGAGGCTGAAACAGGAGAGAATCACTTGAACTTGGGAGGTGGAGGTTACAGTGAGCTGAGATCACTACACTGCACTCCAGCCTGGGTGACACAGTGAGACTCTGTCTCAAAAAAACAAACAAAAAAAAAAACGGTGCTCACACTTGTCATCCAAGTACTTTGCCAGGCTAAGGTGAGAGGATCCCTTGAGCCCAGGAGTTTAAGACTAGCCTGAGCAACATAGTGAGACTCTGCCTCTATAAAATAAATAAATAAGCCAGACATGGTGGTGTGCACCTGTTCTAGCCACAGCTACTTGGGGGGCAGAAGTGGGCAGATCCCTGGAGCCCAGGAGTCCAAGGCAGTAGTGAGCCATGATTATGCCACTGCTCTCCAGCCTCGGTGATAGCATGAGAGCCTGTCTAAAAAAGAAAAAAGAACTCAAAAAAAATAATAAGAAAGAAAGAAAGAAAAAGGGCCGGGCACGGTGGCTCACGCCTGTAATCCCAGTACTTTGGGAGGCCAAGGCGGGTGGATCACCAGGTCAGAAGATCGAGACCATCCTGGCTAACACGGTGAAACCCTGTCTTAAAAAAAAAAAAAGAAAAAGAAAAAGAAAAAAGAAAAAAAGTATTTTTATTTTATTTATTTATTTTTTTGAGACGGAGTTTCGCTCTTGTAGCCCAGGCTGGAGTGCAACAGTGTGATCTTGGCTCACCACAACCTCCATCTCCTGGGTTCAAGTGATTCTCCTGCCTCAGCCTCCTGAGTATCTGGGATTACAGGCATGTGCCACCACCCCTGGCTAATCTTGTATTTTTAGTAGAGATGGGGTTTCTCCATCTTGGTCAGGCTGTTCTTGAACTCCAGAACTCAGGTGATCTGCCCACCTTGGCCTCCCAAAGTGCTGGGATCACAGGCCTGAGCCACCGCGCCTGGTTATCTTTATTTTATTTTTTTTTGACACAGAGTTTTGCTCTTGTCACCCAGGCTGGAGTGCAATGGCATGATCCCTGGTCACTGCAACCTTCGCCTTCTGGATTCAAGTGATTCTCCAGCCTCAGCCTCCCAAGTAGCTGAAATTACAGGCACCCACCACCAATCCTGGCTAATTTTTCTTTTCTTGTATTTTTAGTAGAGATGGGGGTTTCCCCATGTTGGCCACTCCCGACCTCAGGTGATTCACCCACCTTGGCCTCCAAAATGCTTGGATTATAGGTGTGAGCCACTACGCCCAGCCTCTGCCTTTAGAAAAAATTATTCTTGCTATATGTGTGCTGGGGGTGAAAAAAATTACGAAAAAAGAAAGAAAGAAAAAATTATTTAAGACCCAGTGCAGTGGCCGAGTGCGGTGGCTCACGCCTATAATCTCAGCACTTTGGGAGGCCTAGCGGGGTGGATTACAAGGTCAGGAGATTGAGACCATTCTGGCTAAAACAGTGAAACCCCACGTCTACTAAAAATACAAAAAATTAGGTGATCTCAAGTGATCCACCTGCTTCAGCATCCCAAATTTCTGGGAATACAGGAATGAGTCATTGTGCCCGGCCTAATTTTTTTTTTTTTTTTTTTGAGACAGGATCTTCCCATAAAAAATTAAAATAAAGGCCAGGTGCGGTGCCTCACGCCTGTAATCCCAAGACTTTGGCAGGCCAAGGCGGGCGGATCACCAGAAGTTGGGAGTTCAAGACCAGCCTGACCAACATGGAGAACCCCATCTCTATTAAAAATACAAAATTAGGCCGGGCTCGGTGGCTCTAGCCTGTAATCCCAGCACTTTGGGAGGCCGAGGCAGGTGGATCACAAGGTCAAGAGATGGAGACCATCCTGGTCAACATGGTGAAACCCCGTCTCTACTAAAGATTCAAAAAATTAGCTGGGCATGGTGGGGCGTCCCTGTAATCCCAGCTACTTGGGAGGCTGAGGCAGGAGAATCTCTTGAACCCGGGAGGTAGAGGTTGCGGTGAGCTGAGATCATGTCACTGCACTCAAAGCCTGGGGACAAAATGACACTCCGTCTCAAAACCAAAAGAACAACAGCAACAACAACAACACAAAATTAGCCGGGCGTGGTGGTGGGCGCCTGTAATCCCAGGTACTCAGGAGGCTAAGGCAGGAGAATCCCTTGAACTCAGGAGGTGGAGGTTGTGGTGAGCTGAGATTCCGCCATTGCACTCTAGCCTGGGCAATAAGAACAACACTAGGTCTCAGAAAAAAAAAAAAGTGTACTGGTTGTAAGGAGAATCTTTTGGAACTGCACTTATCCTCATCACCTTCTATGTCCATATTTGTCCTTTCTCTTTTTTATTTTTTATTTTTTTTAGAGACAGGGTCTTGCTAGCTTCCCAGGCTGGAGTGCAGTGGCTATTCACAGGCACAATCCCACTACTGATTAGCACGGGAGTTTTGACCTGCTCCGTTTCCCACCGGGGCTGGTTTGCCCCTCCTTAGGCAACCTGGTGCTGGGATTATAGCCATCAGCCACCTTGCCCGGCTTGTCCCTTCTCAAGCACAACTATTCGATCTCCTTTTGTCCATTCTCTCCCCTCTCATTATCTCCTTGAGTCTTCCCTGTTTCTTCTCACTGAACAAACCATGTCTCACCTGTCCTATTTATTTATTTATTATTTTTTTGAGACAGAGTCTCGCTGTCTTGCCCAGGCTGGAGTACAATGGCACGATCTCAGCTCACTGCAATTTCCACCTCCCAGGTTCATGAGATTCTTCTGCCTCCCAAGTAGCTGGGATCACAGGCACCCACTACCACACCTAGCTAATTTTTTGTATCTTTAGTAGAGACGGGGTTTCATCACGTTGGCCAGGCTAGTCTTGAACTCCTGATTTCAAATGACCTACTCGCCTCGGACTCTCAAAGCGCTGGGATTACAGGCATGAGCCACTGCGTCTAGCCTATTTTCATGTTTTTTAGAGACAGGGTGATTCTACCACCCAGACTGGAGTACAGTGGCACTATCCTAGGTCACTGCAGCCTCAGGCTCCTGGGCCCAAGACATTCTTTTTAGCTTTCCAAGCAGCTGGGACTACAGGCACAAGCTACCACACCTGGCTAATGTTTCGATTTTTTGTAAAGATGAAGTTTCATTATATTGCCCAGGCTGGTCTTGAACTCCTGGCCTCAAGCAATCCTCCCACCTCAGCCTCCCAAAGTGCTGAGATTACACTATGGTGTGGGCCACCATATTCAGCTTCACCAGTCCCTTAAATTCTCTTCAATTTTTGTGAATTAACCTGATAAATCCCTGTTATTTTTTCTTTTTATCTCATTTTGCCTGGATCTGGACTTTTCATCCTCAGCAATACATTATTCTTGCTCACCTCTCTGAAGTGTACTTTTGCTGGTGTATACCTACTTTCACTGGAACCTGATTTTTTTTTTTTTTGAGAGTCTCACTCTTGTTGCCGAGGCTGGAGTGCAATGGCATGGTCTCAGCTCACTGCAAGCTCTTCCACCGCGATTCAAGCGATTCTCCTGCCTCAGCCTCCCAAGTAGCTGAGATTACAGGTGCCTGCCACCATGCTGTCAGGTCTCCATATGCAAGCCTGGAGCCTGAAAGTCTGAAGTTCTGCTTGCCTCAGCTGATGTCTCCCATACCCCCCATCCCTCCCCCTACCTCGCTATTGTCCCTAATTGCCCAGCAGCGGAGCTTCCCCACAAGCCCCTCACCCAACCCTGCCATCTTATCTGTTCTCATGATAATGTAAATACCTCTCACCCAACCCTGCCATTGTAACTGAACTTGTGGTCATGTATACTTGTCCTTGCCCCTACCGCCCAAACACTGTAACTGAACTTACTCTGCAACACCCCTGCCCCCCAAGAAACTACCCAAACCCATAAAACCAACTCCTATCCAACCGCCCTTTGCTAATGCCCTTTTTGGCCTTAGCCCACCTGCACCCAGGTGAATAAACAGCCATGTTGCTCACACAAAGCCTGTTTGGAAGGTTTCTTCATTCAAAGCGCGCGTTTTTCAACACACGGCCGGTTAATATTTGTATTTTTAGTAGAGACGGGTTTCACCACGTTGGCCAGGCTGGTCTCGAACTCCTGACCTCAAGTGATCCACCCTCCTTGGCCTCCCAAAGTGCTGGGATAACAGGCGTGACCCACCGCGCCTGTTGTTAAATATGGGTAAATTAAAACAACAGAAAAAGAGTTAGGAATATAAGTAAATTCTGAACACTGCACTGGCCTCTGAAAAAGAAAGAAAAAAAAAAAGAATATCGGTAATTAAAAAATAGTACAGAAGCTAGGTGGTGCAATGAGCCAAGATCGCACCACTGACTCCAGCCTGGGCGATAGAGGGAGACTGTGTCTCATAAATAAATAAATACATTTTTTAATAGGCCGGGTGCGGTGGCTCACCCCTGTAATCCCAGCAGTTTGGGAAGCCGAGGCCGGTTCACGATGTCAAGAGATCGAGATCATCCAGGCCAACATGGTGAAACCTCGTCTCTACTAAAAAATACAAAAAATTAGCTGGGCGTGGTGGCGCGCGCCTGTAGTTCCAGCTACTCGGGAGGCTGAGGCAGGAGAATTGCTTGAACCTGGGAGGCGAGACTGCAGTGAGCCGAGGTCGCGCCACTGCTCTCCAGCCTGGCGCCTGGTGACAGAGTGAAACTGTCTCAAAAAAAAAAAAAAAAAAAGAAAAAAAAAGTACGTAACTCTGGGATATGGCTCCTTCTCCTTGGTGTTTTCCTCACTTTCCTATTAGGCTTCAATTGTCAAGATATGGCACAAAATTTTAAAAGTGTCCATTTATCCCTTGATAGTGATCAAACGCTGACCTCAGGATAGCAAGGTAGCGCTCTCAGCATGGTGACGCATCTGTGTCACAACCATCAAAGACCTTCCGAAAATGACAGCTCCCTTGTCTCCTCACCGCGGCAGAGCCAAGTAGGACCTTCCAAACATGGCGGCACAAGAGTCTTGCGTCATTTCCTGTAGTGTGTCCAATATAAGGGGCAGGATTTCCGCTTTCGCTCCTTTCCGGCGGTGACGATCTACGCACGAGAACATGCCTGTGAGTGCTTTGGTCCAGGTTTCGGCGGAGATCTCGCTCTTCTGTTCGCACGCTCCCCTCCCGCTGATTTCGGATCGCAGAGGGTCCTCATTTGCCCTCTGCACTTAGGACATTAACTCCAGGGACCGCAGCGGTCCACGGGCCACCCGCATAGACGGGAGCGGAGAGGAGATAAGATGGCGGCCCAGCTGCGCAGACATCAGGGGCGGCGAGGGGCGAGCTCTCCCCGGTGTGTGACAGTCGGGGCTGTTTTCGAGCATCCCATTTTCGCCGTTGGTTTCTAAATCTCTGCATTTCTGTCCTTCTTAGCTAGCAAAGGATCTCCTTCATCCGTCTCCAGAAGAGGAGAAGAGGAAACACAAGAAGAAACGCCTGGTGCAAAGCCCCAATTCCTACTTCATGGATGTGAAATGCCCAGGTGAGGAGACGGCTTGCTGTAGTGGGGAAAGCACTGGACCTCAACACTTGGAAAAAGTTGAGTGAGCTGTGTCGTATTCGTGAAGCTGTCCAGCAGCTTCAGTTTCTTCGCCTGTGAAAAATTTTTCCTGATACTCTTAAAATTAGGATGTATGAGACTGGCAACGTTTTGCATCTTAGGAGGAGTGATTCATTTCAGCGTGATCCCCCATCACGTTTCACATCCAATCCCTATCTTTTTTTGTGTTGGGAAACAGTAATGGAGTTGGGCATAAATGCCGGAAAGATACGGGTGTAGTAGAGGAAGAAAATGTTAATCTGTTTTTTTTTAGGATGCTATAAAATCACCACGGTCTTCAGCCATGCACAAACGGTAGTTTTGTGTGTTGGTTGCTCCACTGTCCTCTGCCAGCCTACAGGAGGAAAAGCAAGGCTTACAGAAGGTAAATGGTTTACTAATGTGATTTGGGGCTTTGTTTTTCTTTTTTGTTTTGTTTGAGTTTTTGCTTTATAGAAATGAAAACACTTCTCAGGATCTTTCAATTTTCGTTTTTTTTTTTTTTTTCCTTTGGATTTTTCAATCTTAGAGTGACAAAGATTATGTATAATGTAAACTTTCAGACAAGAAGTGTTGGCTTTGATGGTTTTTTTCTTTAAGTAGATACTACCAAAAACTATATACTAATCTCAAAGCACTACTGTCTAAAGCTGGGGTCAATGGGCAGTAAAAGGGCTCAAGTTGATATGAAGTGACCCAAATGATATAAATGATTCTGTAGCTAAAACTTCAGAAAAATAAAGATGTAGCTTTCTGTGGGTGGATCTCCTGGCATCTGCTTGTTTCGTGGGGGAGGTGGGCAGAATACCTGGGCTGTCATCAGCTAATCTCTGAACCTTTTTCCTCCAGGATGTTCTTTCAGGAGGAAGCAGCACTAAAAGCACTCTGAATCAAGATGAGTGGGAAACTATCTTAATAAACACATTTTGGATAAATCCTGTTTATTGTCTTGTTTAACTGTTAGGATCCTGTCTCAAGTATTCAGGGCAACCGGAAAGAGAAGATTAGAGTCAGTTTGGGCAAGTAAGTGGCCAATTACTTTAAAAATCCGTTTGGGGGCGTTTTAAACCACCTAGGCTCATTGGGTAAAAAAATTTTGTTGAGACAGTCTCCCTCTCTCGCCTGGCACCGCAACCTCTACCTCCCTGGTCAAGCAATTCTGCCTCAGCCTCCGGAGTAGCTGGGACTGCAGGCACATGCCACCATGCCCAGCTATTTTTTGTATTTTAGTAGAGATGGGTTTTCACCATGTTGGCCAGGATGGTCTCTATCTCTTGACCTCGTGATGTGGCTGCCTCGGCCTCCCAAAGTGCTGGGATTATAGGCAAGAGCCACCTTGTCCGGCCTGGTTTTTTTAAACTGGTCTTTGAACTGACCTCAGGTGATAACGTGCCTTGGCCTTCCAAAGTGCTGAGATTATAGGCATGAGCCACTGTGCCTGGTCGTGTGTGTGGTTTGAGGCAGAGTCTTTGTTGCCCAGGCTGGAGTGGCTCAATCTTGGCTCACTGCAACCTCTGCCTCTCGGGTTCAAGTGATTCTCCTGCCTTAGCCTCCGAAGTAGCTGGCTCTACAGGTGTACATGCCACCACACCCAGCTACTTTCTGTATTTTTAGTAGAGACACGGTTTCACCATATTGGCCAAGCTGGTCTTAAACTCCTGACCTTAGGCGATCCCCCCATTTCAGCCTCCCAAAGTGCTGGTGTTAAAGGCATGAGCCACCTCGCCTGACCATGTATTTTTTTTTTTAAGGGGAGGGGGAAGCTGTATCTTTTTTTAACCAAGTTTTTTTTAGAATTAAGAGCTGACATACTCTTTGCAACACAATCCAACACACCAGTTTAAAGAAACAGCTTAGGGTCCTTTATAGTTCGTAGAAGGCTTTTCTGGAAACAGTGTAGAAGTTGCTGTTAGGCTTTTTGTTTAGGACTAGAAATCTTCATTCCCCTACAGTTAAAAGGAATTTGTCCAATAGAGGTTACTTCCTTATACTCCATAACCAATGTTGCAGCCGACTTTGGGCTGGTGGAGGCTGTGGACTCATGAAGGGAGAGGGAGAACTTGTGTTAAGAGAACCTAGAAGTAAAGAGGGAAAGGTTAAGTAAATTAAATGTGTATATCTGAACTTTTCAAAGATAAGGACAGATTTTTTTACCTGGCTGTGGTGTTCCTAGAGTTGGTACATACACAACTGGAACTGTTTGAATCTTGTTTAGGAAGGCGTTGTATGCTGGAAAAAGGACAAAGGAAATGTCACAAATGGCATGTCTGAGGAACTTTGCCTTAAAAAGGGCAAAGTCAACTCTAGAGTGAGATTTAATATTGCTAAAGTAATTCTTCAAAATAAGTAATAGTAATACACTATTCAAGGAAGTTTTTACCCCAATTTAATCCATTTTAGAGTTTCAGCTTTTGGCTAAAAGATACGGGGAAATGCAATGTAGACAGTTGTGATGTGCTACTTAAGTTTTTTTAGGCTGGGTGTGGTGACTCATGCCTGTAATCCCAGCACTATGGGAAGCCGAGACCAGTGGATCACCTGAGGTCAGGAGTTGGAGACCAGCCTGGCCAACATGGTGAAACCCGTCTCCACTGAAAATACAAAAATTCGCTGGGAATGGTGATGGGTGCCTGTAATCCCAGCTACTCCGTAGACCAAAGCAGAATTGCTTGAAACCTGGGCAGCGGAGGTTGCAGTAAGCTGAGATCATGTCACTGCACTCCAGCCTGGGTGACAGAGAGACTCTATCTCAAATTTTTTTTTTTAGTCACAGGATGTCACTGGAGTATAGAGGCAAAATCACTGTTAACTGCAGACTTGAATTCCCTGGCTCAAGCAATCCTCCTGCCTCAGCTTCCCTAGTAGCTGGGACTGCAGGTGTGTGCCACCGTACCCAGCTAATTTTTAAGCTGTTTTGTAAAGGTGGAGTCTCACTGTTGCCCAGGCTGGTCTTAAATTCCTATCCTCAAGCCATCCTCCCACCTGGGCCTCCCAAAGGGCTAGGATTACAGGTGTGAGCTGTGGCACTCAGTCTGTTGTATTACTTGCGTTATCCCTATGAATTTCAGCAAAAGAGCTGTGAAGCCTCAAGATTTAATAGTGGTTTCCACTTCTGAGTGGTGTGTGTTTGCCAAATCTAGTTTTTTTGCTTCTTGGTAGTAAGTTGAGGAGGACTTTTTTTTTTTTTTGGAAACGGAGTTTTCCTGTCACCCAGAGTGCAGTGCAGTGGCACAATCTTGGCTCACCTCCATCTCCCAGGTTCAAGCAATTTTCCCCACTCAGCTCCCAAGTACCTGGGATTACAAGCTTGTGCCACCACACCTAGCTAATTATTTTCAGTAGAGATGGGGTTTCACCTTGTTGGCCAGGCTGGTCTTGAACTCTTGACCTCAGGTGATCCACCTGCCTCAGCTTCCCAAAGTGCTGAGATTACAGGTGTGAGCCACCTCACCTGGCGGAGGAGGACGTTTAATCCACTAGGTGATTTGGACTAGGGAGGATAACTTAGTTTAAACTGCTTGTTAAAATTGTATGTGATAAGTAGCTAATTTTCATCCTTAATAGTTTGTGAAATAAAATGGAGTTTCCATATCAAAGTCTATGGTACTGAAAATAAGGACTCTTTACCTAGAAAGATGAAAGCTGTTGATGACAGTACTGCAAAGAGGGTCAAGAGCAGGATCTGGTAAAAACCACTGAACCTCTTGAGGATGCCTGAATCTTCACAATGATCTATGCATTCATTGGTCATAACAAAACAAGATAATAGTTATTTAATAACACAACCATGGGCAGATGCTGCATTTTTTAAATTAATTTTTTTGAAATCGAGTCTGGCTCTGTCACCAGGCTGGAATGCAGTGTCGTGATCTTGGCTCACGGCAACCTCTGACTCCCAGGTTCAAGCAGTTCTGCCTCAGCCTCCTGAGTAGCTGGGATTCCAGGCACACACCACTATGCCCAGCTAATTTTTGTATTTTTAGTAGAGACAGGGTTTCACTATGTTGGCCGGGATGGTCTCCATCTCCTGACCTCGTGATCTGCCCACCTCGGTCTCCCAAAGTGCTGGGATTACGGGCATGAGCCATCACACCCAGCTAATTTTTATTTTGAGACAATCTTGCTCTCGCTCTGTTCCCCCGGCTCAAGAGCAGTGGCATGATCTCAGCTCTCTGCAACCTCTAGCTGCATTTTAAAATTTGACTAAAAATAGTCATGAGTATCTACCAGAAGTAATCAAAACCCAGCTCTCAGTAGAGAGTTCAGGTGTGAACTATACTTGGTTCATCCACCTCTTTTTGACTTCTTCCTATCTCCAGAGTAATAAAACTCCAATTCTTGAACCTCTTATTTCTTCCGCTTAGATTACAAAGGATCCTTTAAATCCTCTGCTACTTTAAAATGCTGGTTACCTTTCCTGTGCACTTTAACCCCAGGTAACATGCTTCCCTTCACTAAACTTGTGATAGTATGCTGATTCCATTTACAATTGTAATCTCTACCTTAAAACTTTTTTTTTAGATGGAGTCTTGCTCTTGCCCAGGCTGGAGTGCAGTAGTGTGATCTCGGCTCATTGCAACCTCTGCCTCATCCTCCTGAGTAGCTGAGACTACAGGTGCCTACCATCATGTCCAGCTAATTTGTGTATTTTTAGTAGAGGTAGGGTTTCATCACATTGGCCAGGCTGGTTTTGAACTCCTGACCGTGTGATCCACCTGCCTCGGCCTCCCAAAGTGCTGGGATTACAGGCGTGAGCCACTGTGCCTGGCCGAAACATTTTTTTTTTTAGATCATCAATGACCTTTTAAATCCTTTATGTCCTACTCAGGATGTCATTTCTTTGGAACACTCTGATTTGCATCTAATCTTACCCTCAATAAAACTTTATGCCTTTTTTTTTGGAGACAGGATTGCAGACTGGAGTGCAGTGGGGCAGTCATGGCTTACTGCAGCCTCCCAAGTAGCTAGGACTACAGAGGTGCACACATCATGTCCGACTTTTTTTTTTTGAGACAGTTTCACTCTTGTGTCCCAGGCTAGAGTGCAATGGACGATCTCAGCTCACTGCAACCTTTGCCTCCCAGGTTCAAACAATTCTCCTGCCTCAGCCTCCCAAATTGGGATTACAGGCACCTGCCACCACGCCTGGCTGATTTTTGTATTTTTAGTAGAGTTAGGTTTTTACCATGTTGGCCAGGCTGGTCTTAAACTCCTGACCTCAGGTGATCCACCCGCCTCAGCCTCCCAGAGTGCTAGGATTGATTACAGGCATGAGCCACTGCACCCAGCCAACCTTTTTTATTTTTCAGACAGAGTTTCACCCTTGTCACCCAGCCTGGAGTGCAATGGCATGATCTTGGCTCACTGCAACCTCCACCTCCCAGATTCAAGCTATTCTGCCTCAGCTCCTGAGTAGCTGGGATTACAGGTGCCCACCACCACACCCAGCTAATTTTTGTATTTTTAGTAGAGACGGGGCTTTCACCATATTGACCAGGTTGGTCTCAAACTCCTGGCCTCAGGTAATCCACCCACCTCAGTCTCCCAACGTGCTGGGTTTACAGGCATGAGCCACCTCGCCTGGCCTTATTTTTTTTAACTCCTGGATAATTTAAATTTTTTCTTTAACTTAAATTTTTGGTAGAGATGAGGTCTCGCTAGTTGCCTAGGCTTATCTTGAACTCCGGGGCTAGAGGGTCCTTCTGCCTCAGCCTCCTAAAGTACTGGGATTACAGGTGTGAGTCACTGCACCTGGCCTCAAAATAATGTTAAATGTGGCTGGGTGCTACAGCTTACACCTGTAATCCTAATACTTTGGGAGGCCGAGGTGGGGGGATTGCCTGAGCTCAGGAGTTTGAGACCAGCCTGGGACACACAGTGAAACCCCATCTCTACTAAAAATACAAAAAATTGGCTGGGCACGGTGACTCATGCCTATAATCCCAGCACTTTGGGAGGCTGAGGCAGGTGGATCATGAGGTCAAGAGATCAAGACCCTCCTGGTCAACAAGGTGAAACCCTATCTCTACTAAAAATACAAGAATTAGCTGGGCATGGTGGTGCGGCGCCTGTAATCCCAGCTACTCGGGAGGCTGAGGCAGGAGAAATGCTTGAACCCAGAAGGCGGAGGTTGCGGTGAGCCGAGATTGTGCCATTGCACTCCGTCTCAAAAAAAAAAAAAAAAAAACAAAAAATTAGCCAGGTGTGGTGGTGTGCGCCTGTAATCCCAACCACTTGGGAAGCTGAGACAGGAGAATCACTTGAACTGGGAGGCGGAGGTTGCAGTGAGCCGAGATGGCGGCACTGCACTTCAGCCTGGGCCACAGAGCAAGACTCTATCTCAAAAATTAAAAAAAAAAAAAAACACCAAAAAATGTTAAATGCATAAAGCAGGACTGATAAATCAGTATAGCTAACCAAAACTATAACACAAACCTAATTTGTGACATGGTTATATTATACAATTAACAAAATGTTAAAGGCCTAATTTGTAATATGGTAATATGTGTGTGTGTGTGTTTTGAGCCAGTCTCTGTTGCCAAGGCTGGCAGTGCAGTGTTGCATCTGTAATTCACTGCAGCCTCAAACTCCTGGCCTCAAGTGATCCTCCCACCTCAGCCTCCCAAAGTGCTGGGATTACAGGTGAGCGCTGCTCCTTGCATGTGTGTTTTATTAATAGCAACAAAAAAGATCTAAGTGCAGGTCTGATTACTGTAATTTTGTTTTTTGGCTCTTTTTCTTTTTTCTTTTCTTTTTGAGATGGAGTCTCACTCTGTGGCCCAAGCTGGAGTGCAATGGCCTAATCTTGGCTCACTGCAACCTCTGCCTCCTGGGTTCAAGTGATTCTCCTGCCTTAGCGCCCCCCCCCCGAGTAGCTGGGATTACAGGTGCACCCCACTACCCCTGGCTAATTTTTTTGTGTATTTTTAGTGGGGACGGGGTTTCACCATGTTGACCATGCTGGTCTCAAACTCCTGACCTCGTGATCCACCCGCCTCAGTCTCCCAAAGTGCTGGGATTACAGGCATGAGCCACCGTACCCGGCCGATTACTTTAATTTTGAAGTGAGAAATATTGTTTAGATCTGGCAACAGGAACATGAATATATCTATAGATTCTTTTTTTCTCTCTATATATATTCTGAGAAACTTTTCCAGTAATGAACTATGGAAATGATCCCTAAAAGTATAATCTGTTGGTGACAAAAGCACACAATACTGCAGATACTATGATGGTTGGCTGGCTATATTAATAACCAGTGGATAGCCGGGCACAGTGGCAAGCACCTGTCATCCCAGCTACTCGGGAGGCTGAGGCAGGAGAATCGCTTGAATCGGTGGGGGGCTGAGGTTGCAGTGAGCCAAGATCGTGACACTGCACTCCAGCATGGGTGACAGAGACTCCATCTCAAAACAAACAAACAAAAAAAAACAGTGGAAGTGCTAACTTTTAGTGGTCAATTGAAAATAAAAGATACTAGGTGTGGTGCCTCAGGCCTGTAATTCCAGCACTTTGGGAGGCTGAGGTGGGTGGATCATTTGAGGTCAGGAGTTTGAGACCAACCTGGCCAACATGGTGAAACCCAACTTCTACTAAAAATACAAAAAATTGGCCGGGCACGGTGGCTCATGCCTATAATCCCATCACTTTGGGAGGCCAAGGTGGGTGAATCACGAGGTCAAGAGATCGAGACCATCCTGGCCAACATGGTGAAACCCCGTCTCTACTAAAAATACAAAAATTAGCCAGGCATGGTGGCACACACCTCTGGTCCCAGCTACTCGGGAGGCCAAGGTGGAAGAATCGCTTGAATCCAGGAGGCGGAGGCTGCAGTGAGCAGAGATTGCACCACTGCACTCCAGCCTGGCAAAGAGCAAGACTCCGTCTCAAAAACAAAAACAAAACCACAAAAAATTAGCCAGGCATGGTAGCGCAAACCTATAGTCCCAGATACTCGGAAGGCTGAGGCAGGAGAATCACTTGAACCTGGGAGGTGGAGGTTTCAGTGAGCTGAGATCGTGCCACTGCACTCCAGCCTGGTGACAGAGCAAGACTCTGTCTTGAAAAAAAAAAAAAGAAAGAAAAGAAAAATGCAATTTTTCCGTACTAGGGGTCATGGGTGACTTGAATTCTATCTATGGACCCTTGCGGGGATCCATGGTCTCTAGATTTAAAAACTCTGCTCCAATACATTCTACTGATGGTATCTAGAGATAATTTTTTTTTTTTTTTTTAATTTCTGAGACAGGGTCTTGCTCTGTCACCCAAGCTGGAGTGCAATGGTGCGATCATGGCTCACTGCAAGTTCAACTTCCTGGGCTTAGGCAATCCTCCACCTCAAACTCTTGCTAGGACTTCAGGTGCATGCCACCATGCCTGGCTAATTCTTTTAATTTTTAGTAGAGATGAGGTCTTGCTGTGTTGCTCAGCCCAGTCTCGAACTCCTGAGCTCAAGTAATCCTCCAGCCTTAGCCTCCCAAAGTGCTAGGATTACAGTTGTGAGCCACTGTGCCAGGCTACAGATACCTTGACATCTCAGTTTCCTCAGCTCTTGGGGAAAAATACCTACCTCCTAGAGTTATGAGAAGTAAAACAAAAAGCATATAAATGTGCTTAGGATACTGATCAATACAAACCAGATTCTCATGTAATCATTAACAAAAACCTGTTTCCCGTTAGGAAATATACTATAGTTAATTGAGTTCCCAGTAATTAAGTAGTTTCCCTTGAGAAGTGGGAAAGCAGGTGTGACAAATACAATATAAGGAGACTGATGGTTCTCTAGCTTTTCTAACACCTTTTCATAACTCTGTTCCCATTGTATCCAAATGTGGCATTATTCCTAAACTGGGTAATGCCTGGAATCAGGATTTTGGGAAGCTAAGTCTTGGTTCTAGGGCTAACATTGGCCCATTGCCTGATGCAAACAGATCTAAATACTTTTGAAGACAACAAAACATTTATCAATAAGTTTAAAATAGGACAAATAGTATACTTACAAAGCTGGCAAATTCGTGTTAAACTGACAACTATTCAAACTCATGTTAAACAGACGATTTTTCTTTTTTTTTTTTTTGAGACAGGGTCTTGCTCTGTCACCAGGCTGGGGTGCAGTGGCACAATCACAGCTCACTGTCTCGAACTACTGGTCTCAAGCAATCCTCCTGCCTCAGCCTCCTGAGTAGTTGGGACCACAGGTGCATGCCACCATGCCTGGGTACTTTTGTTCTGTGCTTTTTTGTTGAGACAGAGTTTTGCCTTGTTCCCCAGGCTGGTTTTGAACTCCTGAGCTCAAGGGATCTGCTCACCTCTGCCTCCCAAAGTGCTGGAATTACAGACATAAGCCACCACCATGCCTGGCAGACAGCTATTCTTTTTTTTTTTTTAAGATGGAGTCTTGCTCTGTCACCAAGCTGGAGTGCAGCAGTGGTGCAATCTCAGCTCACTGCAACCTCCACTGCCTGGGTTCAAGTGATTCCCCTGCCTCAGCCTCTCGAGTAGCGGGGACTACAGGCACTTGCCACCATGTCCGGCTAATTTTTTGTATTTAGTAGAGACAGGGTTTCACCATGTTGGCCAGGCTGGTCTTTATTTCCTGACCTTGTGATCTACCCACCTCGGCCTCCCAAAGTGCTGGGATTACAGGCGTGAGTGACCACACCTGACAACTATTCTGAAATATATAAGTTAAATGTAAATTTTAGCTAGTGTTAAGAAAGCTACCTAAAGGTTGTATTTTAGATAGGTTTAGAAGATTCATGCCTCAACTAGTTTGAGTAATCTTGGCAAGTGGCTGAATGTTTCCCATTACCTAAACTGTGATAATAGGTGTCCCCCTTTATCTGTGGGGAATATTTTGCAAGTCCCCCAGTGGATGACACAGATAATATTGAACCCTCTATGTAGTATGTTTTTTCCTTACTGAGTTGAGAACTTCCAACTTTTCACTTAAAGGAAGCACTTTCCAGCTTCTTTTTGGCATATCTGAATTGCAGGTATCACTACTCTTGTGCTTTGGAGTCATTATTAAGTAAAATAAGGGTTACTTGAAATAAGCACTGTACTGTGAAACGTTGATACCAGTTGATTTGATAACAGAGATTGCTACTAAGTGACTAAAGGGCTGGTAGTATACAGTGTGAACATGCTGGGCAAAGAGATGATTCGTGGTAGGAGACCAGAGTAGGACAGTGTGAGATTTCCTCATGCTATGTGGAAGTGAACAATTTAAACAATTTATTTCAGGAGTTTTCCATTTATTTTTGGACCATGGTTGACTGTTGGTTAAGTGAACCTTGGAAAGCAAAACTGTAGATGGGGGTGAGGTGACACTACTGTAATTCATTCTTTCTTCTTTCCCTCTCTAGATTATAAATAGCAATCTCTGATGCTTACCTGCACCCAACTTACCTTTCATAGCCCTCACTACCACTGCCTCATTTTGACTGGTGAGTACACAGGAAATATTGATGAAAACAGGTGATGCCATCTGCTGGAAGGAAGTGAAGTTGACCACTCTAACAGGGTAGATGGCCAGGCCAGGAGTGAGGGGAGAGTGGATATGGCCAGCAACCTCTAGAACTGGGGAGCTGGAGACAACCTTGGAGAAAAGAGAAAACCTCTTGTTTAAAAGAAGAAAAATCAGTTTTGTATCAGTATGTTCCAATCTCAAACATGTACAGTACAAGAATTGTCAAGATCTGGATTTCTAGCTAGCTAGCCAACACTAAATTAAATTTATTTTCTTTTTTTACCCCCTTAGGTATGTTGACAAAGCTCATGACCTAGATTTGGACTCTGGGAGCCTGCCTGGCATTATGAAGGAGGTGGGTTTTCTTCATTTGATTTTGTAATTTCCTGTGGTGATTTTTATTAGGTCACTCAGTAACTTGCCCTTGGAGTGAGAATGAAAAATATCTGGCCAGGCACTGTGGCTCACACCTGTAATCCTAGCACTTTGGGAGGCCGAGGTGCGTGGATCACCTGAGGTCAGGAGTTCAAGACCAGCCTGGCCATCATGGTGAAACCCCATCTTAAAAAAAAAAAATTGGCCAGGCGCAGTGGCTCAAGCCTGTAATCCCAGCACTTTGGGAGGCTGAGGTGGGTGGATCACGAGGTCAACAGATCGAGATCATCCTGGTCAACATGGTGAAACCCCATCTCTACTAAAAATACAAAAAAATTAGCTGGGCATGGTGGCACGTGCCTGTAATCCCAGCTACTCAGGAGGCTGAGGCAGGAGAATTGCCTGAACCTAGTAGGCGGAGATTGTGGTGAGCCGAGATCGCGCCATTGCACTCCAGCCTGGGTAACAAGAGCGAAACTCCGTCTCAAAAAAAAGAGAGAATGAAAAATATCTTTTCAAATTCCTGATCTCTTGTTCTGTGTTGGTTTAGTCCTTAACATACCTCTAGCTTCCCAAGAACTCTGTCCACTCCCAGTACTCTTATCTGCCCGATATCTTGTTTGTGGCTAAGAACCAGTTCTGACTGGTTAATATAAAAGGCTGGGATGAAAGGAATGAGGATTCGTTGCATTCCATTCTTGTTACGTTCACTGACCAGTGTAGCCCACCCATAGACTGAGGTGTCAGCCACACTGAGGGCCCGTAGCAGCTCCTCTGACTGCGGTTGAACCTTGATTATGCAGACATAAACCCCTGAAAGAAAAAGAGAAAAAACTGAGCAGGAAGGTTCAGAGGCTCTATTGAGCTAACTGAATTAGGATAAGAAGGGAAAACTGTGACATGCAAATTCAGCAAAAGAGAAAATGTGAATTTAGTTTTGATTATTCAATATTAGCACAATATTGGCCACAATGAGGATGATACCAAATAAAAACACTCCTAGAGAAACCACAACTCACCTTATTGACTGAGAATACCATTCTTTCTTTTTTTTTAGAGACAAGACCTCGCTCTGTCATGCAGGCTAGAGCACAGTGGCACAATGTTGGCTTACTGCAGCCTCCTCCTCCCAGGCTCCAGTGATCCTCTCACCTAAGCCTCCTGAGTAGCTGAGACCACATGCATGAGCTACCATGCCTGGCTAATTTTTGTATTTTTCACTGAGGTGGGTGGATGACAGATCAAATAAGAATGGTATTCTTAGTCAGGGGTAGTGTCTCACGCCTGTAATCCGAGCAGTTTGGGAGGCCAATGCAGGAGGATTGCTTGGGCCCAGGAGTTTGAGACCATCCTGGGCAACACGGTAAAACCTCATCTGTACAAAAAATACAAATTTTTTTTTTTTTGAAACGGAGTCTTCCTCTGTCCCCAGGCTGGAGTGTAGTGGTACGATCTCAGCTTACTGAAACCTTGAATTCCTAGGCTCAAGCAATTCTCCTGCCTCACCCTCCTAAGTAGCTGGGGTTACAGGTACCCACCACCACACCCGGCTAATATTTGTATTTTTAGTAGAGATGGGGTTTCACCATGTTGGCAAGGCAGTTCTCAAACTCCTGACCTCATGATTGCTGTTGCCCAAGTGGGAGTGCAGTGGAGCCATCTTGGCTCACTGCAACCTCCGCCTCCAGGATTCAAGCAATTCTCCCTGCCTCAGTCTCCCCAGTAGTTGGGATTACAGCTGCCTGCTACCAAACCTGGCTAATTTTTGTATTTTTTTTGGCAAAGTGGAAGCAAGTTTATTAAGGGATTAAAAAAATGGCTACTCCACAGACAGAGCAGCCATTTTTGTATTTTTAATAGAGATGGGGTTTTGCCATGTGGGCCAGGCTGGTCTCAAACTCCTGACCTCAGGTGACCCACCCACCTCAGCCTTCCAAAGTGTGAGCCACCACGCCCAGCTCTATACCTTTCATTTGATATGGATCATTTCATTTTTAGATAAGTTGATTTACATAAAGTCATCCTAACATCATGCCTATTTTTAAATTCCACTTGTTAATCCTATTCTTTTATTTGGAATATCTTTCAGTTCAACAAAACATCCAAATACTGTGCTACATGCTGGGAATGAAAGATAAATGAGACACAATGCAGAGCCTTACAGAGTTAATGGGGACTAACAAGAAAATAGTAAATTTTTTTTTTTTTTTTGAGACGGAGTTTCGCTGTTGTTACCCAGACTGGAGTGCAATGGCACGATCTCGGCTCACCGCAACCTCTGCCTTCTGGGTTCAAGCAATTCTCCTGCCTCAGCCTCCCGAGTAGTTGGGACTACAGGTGCACACCACCATGCCCAGCCAATTTTTGTATTTTTAGTAGAGACGGGGTTTCACCATGTTGACCAGGAGGGTCTCGATCTCTTGACCTCGTGATCCACCCACCTTGGCCTCCCAAAGTGCTGGGATTATAGGCATGAGCCACTGCGCCAGGCTTTTTTTTTTTTTTGAGACGGAGTTTCGCTCTTATTACCCAGGCTGGAGTGCAATGGCATGATCTCAGCTCACTGCAACCTCCATCTCTTGGGTTCAAGAGAGTCTCCTGCCTCAGCTTCCTGAGTAGCTGGGATTACAGGTGCCCACCACCATGCCTGGCTAATTTTTGTATTTTTAGTAGAGACGAGGTTTCATCATGTTGGCCAGGCCGGTCTTGAACTCCTGATTTCATGATCCACCTGCCTCGGCCTCCCAAAGTGCTGGAATTATAGGCGTGATCCACTTCACCTGGCCTGAAAATAGTAAATTATAATAGAAAAGCAAAGAGTATTCTAAGAGGCATGTGTTAAAAATTATTTGAATAGGGCTGGGGGCAATGGCTCAACACTTGTAATCCCAGCACTTTGTGGCTGAGGCAGGAGGCTTGCTTGAGGCCAGGAGTTTGAGACCAGCCTGGACAATATAGCAAGATCATGTCTCTCTAAAAAAAAAAACAAAATAAAAGCTGGGCATGTTGGCATGGGCCTGTAGTCCTAGCTACTCAGGAGGTGAGGCAGGAGGATTGCTTGAGCCTAGGAGTTTAAGGTAACAGTGAGCTATGATCACACCACTGCACTCCACAGACTTGGGCAACACAGCAAGATCCTGTTGCAAAAAAAAAAAGAAAGTTGAATGGATTGAACAAAAATGTTGCCTGAGAAAGATTCCACAGTTATATATTAGATGAAACTAGAAGATATAAATGCAATCCAGTAAGAATGGGACAATCATACAAATTGATACATAGACAGGGAAACCAGTTTCAACTGGTGTAACCTACCTTTCTCCATACTAAAATCAGAATGGACATGGAAGACTTTACTTGCTGGAATATCTAGCAAAGTATTACTGAACTGTACATGGCACAGCATGAGGGTCGCTGGAAGAAGTACTTTTGTAATAGCCAAGGCCTGGTTTGGGGTACAGGATCCTGAAAAGCAGAAAAGAGGTAATAACTTTGTCACTAACAAGAATTTGTAAAAAGAGAGACCATTACATTGAGGCAATTTGGCATCATAAAAAAACACAAGTAAGAAAGAGGGTCGATCCTGGCTGGTTTGCCCACCTCTGCTTCAATCAAGGTGAAAGAATAGTGTGAGACCCTTGCATTCTCATTTGTGAATGACTACAGTGGGGTTTCCATTATCAATATCATTCATAGGTGGTGTCCTTTTTCAAAAAATTTTTAAAAAATTAATCAGTGGGAGGCCGGGTGTGGTAGCTCACGCCTGTAATACAAGCACTTTGGAGGCCAAGACGGGCGGATCACCTGAGGTCACGAGTTCAAGACCAGCCTGACCAACATGGTGAAACCCTGTCTTAAAAAAAAAAAAAAAAAAATCAGTGAGAATAACAAAGATTACAGGAAAGTTAGAAATCTATTAAAAATAAAGCAGTACGGTTGGGAGGTAGCTTTTAGGTCTAGGAGCATTTGTTTTCCACATACATGTATTATAATACAATTACAATATAATTCAAGCCCCAAATCCCTAAAACTTCATCACAAGTGGTGCCTTAAGCAGAATCATATAGACAGCAAGAAGTGGACTGATGTCATCATTGGGTCAGCTGCAATGGGTGGCATTCTTTTTGAAAAATCTTCAGCAAAATCAAAGAGACCCAGAGGTTTCTCAATTAAATAAGTTGTGATTTTAGAAAGATTCTGGGGAATAAAATGGCAGTCTGTTTATAAAATCATAATTTGGACAACAGAGGGTGAATATGTTATGAAGAAACATTTTGTATTTTTTTTCTATAAAAGAACCTGGGATGGCTGGGTGAGGTGGCTCACACCTATAGTCTCAGCAATTTGGGAGGCTGAAGTGGGCTGATGGTTGGGAGTTTGAGACCAGCCTGACCAACGTGGAGAAACCCTGTCTCTACTAAAAATACAGAAAAATTAAGCCAGGCATTGTGGCAAATGCCTGTAATCCCAGCTACTTGGGAGGCTGAAGCAGGAGAATGACTTGAACCCACAGAGGTTTTCGTGTGCCAATATTGTGCCATTGTACTCCAGACTGGGCAACAAAGCAAAACTCCGTCTCAAAACAAATAATAAATAAAGAACCTGGGAAATTTTAGAGATAAAATATTCTTTACTTATTTATCTATATTTGTATTTATAATAAAATTAAATAGCTAATTTGAAAAAATATGTTAAATGCTTGAAGAACAAAAGGCAAATAGAATTAACATTATCCTTTTTTTTTTTTTGAGATGGAGTCTCACTCTGTTGCCCAGGCTGGAGTACAGTGGTGCAATCTCCCTCACCGCAACCTCTGCCTCCCAGGTTCAAACAGTTCTTCTGCCTCAGCTTCCCAAGTAGCTAGGATTACAGGTGCCTGCCACAACACCTGGCTACATTTTTTATTTTTATTTTTAGTGAAGACGGGGTTTCACCATATTGACCAGGCTGGTCTTGAACTCCTGATCTGAGGTGATTTGCCCACCTTGGCCTCCCAAAGTGCTGGGATTACAGGTGTGAGCCACCGCACCTGGTCTGTTCTTTTTAAAAAAAATAAATAAAGGAATGAACGAAACAACATAGAATTTGGAGTAGAAAATAGCTACTGCTTCTGCCACTGACTGGTTGTTACTGTGTACAAGTTACTTGCTCTTAGTCTCAGTATTTTCATCTTTAAAATGAGGATAATAATGACTACATGATAAAATTGTTAAATGAGATAAAAGGTATAAAAAATTCCTAGCAGGCTGGGCGTGGTGGCGCAAGCCTGTAATCCCAGCACTTTGGGAGGCCGAAGCGGGTGGATCACGAGGTCAACAGATCGAGACCATCCTGGTCAACATGGTGAAACCCGTCTCTACTAAAAATACAAAAAATTAGCTGGGCATGGTGGCGCGTGCCTGTAATCCCAGCTACTCAGGAGGCTGAGGCAGGAGAATTGCCTGAACCCTGGAGGTGGAGGTTGCGGTGAGCTGAGATTGTGCCATTGCACTCTGGCCTGGGTAACAAGAGCGAAACTCCGTCTGAAAAAAAAAAAAAAGTCCTAGCAAAGGATCTGGAATCTGTGAGAAGCTTCTTGTATTTTAGTTATCTTTCTTTCTTTCTTTTTTTTTTTTTAATACAAAAGGACAATTTTAATCCTGCATTTTCCTGTAGTAACATCCACTGCTGGCTATGTACAGATTGAAACTGCATTTGCTAAGAACTGTGAACATGAAGAAATTTCACATGAAGTCACATGTTGATAAAGGCACACAGATATCGTCCAGCACCAACAGAATACATACATAACACATACCAGATAGTCTCAATGGATAAATTTGCTTCACCAGTATTTCTATTTAGTAAAATTCACAGTTAATGCAGAATTTCATTTTTCAATTTTACATCTTTATTACACAATTTCTAATACTTTATTTAAAAAAACCACACATTCAAGATTATAATTTGCATGGCAACAAACAATGGTTTCATGGTTTTTAAGTTTCTTAACTGTCCACAGAAATTTAAAACACAAGTCTTTCCAATTTGCAGCACCTGACTTAAAGTTTAAATTCATCTAATGCATCATTAAAACTGTCCTTTTTCTTCTTCAGCTCATACCAGGCCAAGGGATAATAACTACTTTCTTTTTTTTTTTTTTTGAGACAGAGTTTCGCTCTTGTTACCCAGGCTGGAGTGCAATGGCGTGATCTCGGCTCACCGCAACCTCTGCCTCCTGGGTTCAGGGAATTCTCCTGCCTCAACCTCCTGAGTAGCTGGGATTACAGGCATGTGCCACCATGCCCAGCTAATTTTTTGTATTTTTAGTAGAGACGGGGTTTCACTATGTTGACCAGGATGGTCTCGACCTCTTGACCTCGTGATTCACCCGCTTCGGCCTCCCAAGGTGCTGGGATTACAGCCTTGAGCCACCGCACCCAGCCGAAAATATGATTCTTTAAACATATGCATAATATTGTACCACACAATGCACCATCACTTCTTTAACCATTTTCCAATTGTTCATTTATAACATTTGCAATTTTTTATTATAAATAATATTGTGATGAATACTTTCATCCATAAGTTTTATGCAAGGCTGATTATTTCTTCTAATGTCTTCTAATATCAAAGAAGTGGCTTACTGGTTCAAACAGTGCACATACGTGGTTTTAAGGCTGTTTAGTATACTTTACCAAATAATCTCCAGAATAGTTCGAACAATTCCTACCAACAGTATGTTGTTGTGCCCATAGGGTGGACTTCGTAACAACAAAGCAAATTCAACCACAAATCTATTAGATTCTCACACATCTCAAAACTATCACATCAAAGACGCAAGGAAATATATTACTGGTGAGGAAGCCAAATTCAAACTCTTTTAAAAAAAATCACTCAGCTTTAGATCAGTAAAATAATCAACAAAAATGCTCCCCACAAAATGTCTACTGGGTTTTTCAAAAAATAAAGTTAAAAAAGAGATAAAGAGAAAGTCAGGCTGGGCACCGTGGCTCACACCCAGCACTTTGGGAGGCCAAGGCGGGCAAATCACAAGGTCAGGAGTTTGAGATCAGCCTGGCCAACATGGTGAAACCCCATCTCTACTAAAAATACAACAAATTAGCCAGGCGTGGTGGTGGGTGCCTATAATCCCAGCTACTTGGGAGGCAGAGGCAGGAGGATTGCTTGAACCCGGGAGGCGCAGGTTACAATGAGCCGAGATTGCACCACTGCACTCCGTCCAGCTGGGCGACAGTACTCCATCTCAAAAAAAAAAAAAAAAAAAAAAAAAAAAGAGAAAGAAAGAGAAAGTCAGTACCAAATGACCAGAATTTTTTATTTGACTAAATTCTACTCATGTGTGAGCAATGACAGTCTCCCCTGTTTATTTGACTTTGGCAATAAAAAACCAAGCAGCCTTGTACAGAACAGTGAAAACGCCAAGGATGAGGGCAGTCTGCAGTTTCACTGTACAATAAATATACATATTTTTAAAAGGCCTCTCCCCCTTTGGCTATATCAACTCTCAGTTCAGGCCATTAAATACAAATTTTCAAATTCACTTCCACTTCTTCACTTCTCCAAGATCTTCAATGCTGTCACCATCTACCTCTGGCCACTTTTCCTGAATGACATCAATTATGTCATCTGTAAAGTCTCCCTGAATGATAATTTCATCCTCCCCTGTTACTGAGGCACCACAGGAGAATTTCTGAGCAAAAAATCTTTGTGCTTCTTTAAGATCAATTCCAAAAGTTGCAAGGCCACACACTCTTGTCACATATTTCTTTTTTGCTCTGGGAATTTTGGCTACAGTAACCTTTTGTGGTACAGTCTTCTGTTTTTGTCTTTATTTGACCCCTTCTACCTCTCTTCTGTTTTTTCTTCTCTTCTTCCCCTGCTGTTCCTTGACCCTCATTAATTCCAGTTTCTTGTTTGGGTGAATTTTCTACAGTAAGTTTTGCAAATTCATTTGGAAAATTCTTCTCTAACCATTGTCTACATTTAGCAACATTAGGCATATATTCACAGTACTCTGTTGGTAATGAACAGACTCCACAATAAAGGACTTGAAGTGGGTAATCGGCATCTAACTTGGCACTGTTCCTTGGGTCTCCTTTGCAATCAGCCCCGCTGGATTCAGAAATGTCAAGCAGCCATTTCGCAAATCCAGGCAGTCGCACAGGCCCTGTCGGCTCCGCTCCCGCCGCTATCGCCAGCTGAAGTGACACATGCAACTTCTCTTTCTATTTTTTGAGACAGGGATCTCATCCTGGAACCCAGGCTGGAGTGCAGTGGTGTGATTTTGGCTCCCTGCAGCTTCTATTTCTTTCTTTTTTTTTTGAGATCGAGTCTCGCACTGTCACCCAGGCTGTAGTGCAGAGGCATGATCTCGGCTCACTGCAATCTTCATCACCTCCTGAGTTCAAGTGGTTCTCCTGCCTCAGCCTCCTGAGTAGCTGGGACTACATACATGCGCTACCACGCCCAGCTAATTTTTTTGTATTTTTAGTAGAGACGGGGTTTCACCATGTTGGCCAGGATGGTCTTGATCTCTTGATCTCATGATTTCCTGCCTTGGCCTCCCAAAATGCTGTCATTACAGGTGTGAGCCACCGCACCCAGCCTCAGCTTCTAGTTCTAAGGCTCAAATGATCCCCCTACCTCAGCCTCCTGAGTGGCTGGGAACACAGACATGCACCACCATACATGGCTATGTATTTTAGTGTTCTTTCTTCCTTTTTTTGTCAACAAATCATAAGCTAATAAAGAACAAAAAAGAAACAAAAACACATAAGGTGGCTAGGCACAGTGGCTCACGCCTGTAATCCCAGCACTTTGGGAGGCTGAGGCAGGTGGATCACCTGAGGTCAGAAGTTTGAGACCAGCCTGGCTAACATGGTGAAACACGTCTGTACCAAAAAATACGAAAATTAGCCAGATGTGGTGGTGGGCACGTGTAGTCTCAGCTACTGTGGAGGTGGAGGTTGCTATGAGTTGAGATTGTGCCACTGCACTCCATCCAGCCTGGGTAACAGTGAGACCCTGTCTCAAAAAAATAAAAATAAAAAAACACAAGGCAAATTTGCTAAGCAAAAAGCATTTCAGATATAACCTAGTTCAACAATTCTCAAATCTGGGGAAGCTTTAAGACAGTTGATTCCTAGGTGCTACCCTGAATTTATTAAATCCCTGGATGGAGCCTAAGAATTTGTATTTTGTGTTTTTGAAACAGAGTCTCACTCTGTCACCCAGGCTGGAGTGCAGTGATGTGACCATAGCAGCCTCAAACTCCTGGACTCAGGTGATCCTCCCAACTTAGCCTCCGGAGTAGCTAACTGCAGGTATGTGCCACCACATCTGGCTAATTTAAACAAACAAAAAAAAAGAATTTTTAGAGGCAGGGTGCAGTGGCTGCTCACTACTGTGATGCTAGAACTCTGGGGGGCGGAGGAAGGAGGATTACTTGAGCTTAGGAGTTTGAGATCAGCCCGGGGAATATGGCAAAACCCTGTCTCTACCAAAAATACAAAAAATTAGCCAGGCAAGGTAGTGCAAACCTGTAGCCCCAGCTATTTGGGAGGCTGAGGCATGAGAATCGCTTGAACCTGGGAGGCAGAGGTTGCAGTGAGCTGAGATCGCACCATTGCACTCCAGCCTGGGCAACAGAGCAAGACTCTCCCTCAAAACAAAACAAAACAAAACACCAAACCAAACCAAACCAAAACAAAACAAACACAAAATTTTTTGTACAGATGGGGTCCTATGTTGCCCAGTCTAGTCTTAAACTTCTGGCCTCAAGTGATCCTCCTGCTTTGGCCTCCCAGAGTGCTGGGATTACAGGTGTGAATCACTGTGCCTGGCTCAGAGTTTGTATTTTTAAAACTAGAAAGACAATAGTGACTAGGATAAGCCTACTTTAAAAGGTTAGTCTAGGGGACTAAGGTGCAGCAGGGAAGTGGTGGAGGCGATGGGGTCCGTGCTGGAGGGGGAGGCAGAAGCCACGAGGGGGCTCCTTCATGGCAGGGGTGGCATGAGAGGGATAGAAGTCACCGGGGGCAGCCCTTTGCAGGGATGACCCTCCTCGCCACTCCTCCAGGACTTGGCGCCTTCTTAAGAATGCTGTACTGGAGCTAGTACTGGTCGTGTCCTTCATCACCTTGCTGTAATTCTGCCCCAATCAGCCCCTACTTCAAGTACTCTGTCATGATCAACAAGGCCATGCCCTACAACTATCCAGTGCCTGTCCACAATGATGGGAACATGCCTGACATACCCAGTCACTCCCAGGACCCCCAGGGGCCCAGCCTGGAGTGGCTGAAGAACCTGTGAGCACCTCCACTGACCAAGGCCGGCCCTCTCCCGGCTCCCAATAAAAATGTGAAAACCAAAAAAAAAAAGCTTAGTCTAGTCATAATTTCTGAGGTTTAATAGAGCTCTATGATTTATTTGTCAAGATGGAGTCAGTTCTGAAATAAAAAGAAAGTCTGGATTGCTAATTCAAAGGGATAAATGAATTGAGGGAAAATGAGAAAGATAGGAACAATCACTAAAACCATAAAGAGATTACTGACCTTTAAGACTGACACCATTTCTGCCAGTGGTGATGAAAAGCTTGAATACAGTTGAATTGAGGGTATTGGTGAGATAAGTGTTGAGGTCATAATTAAGCATTAATCTTGATGATGCATTAACCACCACCTGTCAGTAAATCAAAGGAAGATCTGCACCTCAATTCCTAGAGAATCTGATTCCTTCCAGATCCACCCCTCATAACTTATTTAACCAAAAGTATCTGTTTCACACAAGTACAAATTGCCCATCTGTGATCACATATTTGAGAACAACAAAATCTGCCTTTGAAAACAAAACAACTTTTTTGTTTTAGACAGGGTCTTGCTTTGTCATCCAGGCTGGAGTGCAGTGGCATCATGATGGCTCACTGAAGCTTCAAATCCCTAGGCTCAAACAATCCTCTTGCCTCAGCTTCTAGAGCAGCTCTGACTATAGATATGCGTCACCATGCCTGGCCAAAAAAAGACAGGGTCTCACTATGTTGCCCAGCATGGTCTCAAACTCCTGGCCTCAAGCCATCTTTCCACCTTGGCCTTCCAAAGTGCTCAGATTGCAGCATAAGCTACCACGCCAAGCCCAAAATGACATTTTTTCTAGAAGGAAGTCTTGGGTCCAATTATTCCTTCAGACATATCTTCCCTTTGTATGACTCCCTATTAAAATGCCTTTGAGGCCAGGAGAGGTGGCTCACACCTGTAATCCCAGCACTCTGGGAGGCTGAGGGGGTGGATTACTTGAGGTCAGGAGTTTGAGACCAGCCTGGCCAACATGGGGAAAACCCGTTTCTACTAAAAATACGAAAATTAGCCAGGCATGGAGGCACATGCCTGTAATCCCAGCACTTTGGGAGGCCAAGGCAGGCGAATCACCTGAGGTTCGAAGTTCAAGACCAGCCTGATCAACACAGAGAAACCCTGTCTCTACTAAAAATACAAAAAAAAAAAAAAAAATTAGCTGGGCATGGAGGCACATGCCTGTAATCCCTACTACTTGGGAGGCTGAGGCAGGATAATTGCTTGAACCTGGGAGGTGGAGGTTGCAGTGAGCTGAGATCATGCCATTGCATTCCAGCTTGGGCAACAGGAACAAAACTCCATCTCAAAAAAAAAAAAAAGCCTGAGGACTGTTGAGCACTGTTTAGCTTTATCTTCCAATAAAGTTTGCTGGCTGACTTCATATCTGTTTTATGAGTGTATTTCCTTTCCTAGGATGTATTTTCTATATGCATATCCTCATATGGGCAATAGTGATCCTAGTCTCTCAGACTCTGGTAGTTACGTTTACCTCTCGATATGTTTTCACTATTCCTGGGATGTCATGAAAAATCATTGCAGTCCCCGGACTCCTGGCCACTCCTACTCCAGTGATAATGTCTGTCTGCAGAATATTGTCGGCAGAAATCATCCACATCCCAGGTTCACCTAGAAAAGACAAAAGAAAGCACTTGTCTGGAGCCTTTGATAAAATCACTTTAGCCTTATTCATACCTCAAATCAGTAAACTTTTTAAGAATGCAGATAACTCTTCCCAGGAGAATCAGCCAGCTTTGAAGATAACTGTTTTCTCAGTGTTTTCCTCTTCATATATCATGCCAGCAAAATAAAGAATCATAAGAGCTACTTAATTGGAGTATGTAACTGTTCTCCTTAAGAAAAAGAAAAGCTCTTTTTACACACAGGGATAACTTCTGAATAAATTTTGTTTAGATGCTGCTAAGGACAAATCTAATTGATGCCAGCAGGAAGACTGCAACAAAGTGACCACTAGCAAGAGAAAGAATTTATTTTGGCTTAAGTCTCAAGATGGCAGAGGAAGGCCAAAAACTGGATTAGATTTTGTACTTAGCCTGCAGTATTACTGATCCTGGCATATGGCCCTTTGCTTCATCATATGATGAAGGCTCCCAAAATTCCAGATTGGAAGACTATGGGACAGTCCTGTCAAAACCTAGCTAAAAAGAGTAAAAAACAGGCTGGGTGTGGTGGCTAACACCTATAATCCCAGCAGTTTGAGAGGCTGAGGTGGGTGGATCACCTGAGATCAGGAGTTCAAGACCAGTCTGACCAACATGGCAAAACCCTGTCGCTACTAAAAATATGAAAATTAGCCAGGTGTGGTGGTACATGCCTGTAATCCCAGCTGCTTGAGAGGCTGAGGCAGGAGAATCACTTGAACCCAAGAGGTGGAGTTTGCAGGGTTGCAGTGAGCCGAGATCATACCATTGCACTCCAGCCTGGGCAACAAGAGCAAAACATCTCAAAAAAAAAAAAAAAACCAAGTTAAAAAATACTCTGCTTCATTGATAAGGGATTTATAATCAGGGGATTGTAATTCCCATCGTCAACCTTAAAGTAGGTTTAACTCACTGGTCCTGGATTGCATATTCGTAGTGGTTGTTTGCAAATCAGCTGTTACAGGATTACGGGATTCAGCTGAATAGAGCCCCTTTGTATCAAGGTCCAAAATATGTAGTTAATGTTAAAGTCAGGTCCAACATGACATCATTTTACCTAAACATGTGTATCCATAGTTACCAGAAGAGGCTGCAAAGCTGAAGACGTACACTACCACAAGCGGGCCTTACTTGGGTGTATACACCCAGGCAGTGCTTACCACTTTGGGATATGGTATTTGGAAACCCAAAGAATTCACACCCATTTCCTGAACAAAGACTGATTTCCTTTTCTTTTCTTTCTTTCTTTTTTTGTTTTTATTTTTTGAAACAGAGCCGTCATCCAGACTGGAGTACAGTGGTGTGATGACAGCTTTACTGCAGCCTTGGTCTCCTGGGCTCAAGCAATCTTCCCACCTCAGTCTCCCAACAGTTGGGACCAGAGGCACATGCCACCACACTGGGCTAATTTAAAAAATAATATTTTTTTTGAGACAGAGTCTTGATCTGTCACCCAGGCTGGAATGCAGTGGCACCATCTTGGCTCACTGCAACCTCTGCCCCAGGTTCAAGCAATTCTCCTGTTTCAGCCTCCCGAATAGCTGGCATTACAGGCATCTGCCACCATGCCCAGCTAATTTTTGTATTTTTAGTAGAGGCAGGGTTTCACCATGTTGGCCAGGCTGGTTTCAAGCTCCTGACCTCAAATGATCTGCCCGCCTTGGCCTCCCAAAGTGCTGGAATTACAGGCGTGAGCTACCGCACCTGGCCCTAAATTTTTTTTTGTAGAGACAGGGTTTCACTATGTTCCCCAGGCTGGTCTTGAACTTCTGGGCTCAGGTGAGCCTCCTGCCTCAGTTTCCCAAAGTGCTCGGATTACAGACATGAGCATTGCACCTGGCCCCAAAGACTAATTTTTCTATGATTTTATTGTTATTATTATTATTATTTTGAGATGGAGTCTCGCTCTGTCACCCAGGCGGGAGTGCAGTGGCATGATCTTGGCTCACTGCAGCCTCCGCCTCCTGAGTTCAAGTAAGTCTCTGCCTCAGCCTCCTGAGTAGCTGGGATTACAGGCACCCGCCACCATGCCTGGCTAATTTTTGTATTTTCAGTAGAGATGGGGTTTCACCATGTTGATCAGGCAGGTCTTGAACTCCTGACCTCATGATCCACTTGCCTTGGCCTCCCAAAGTGCTGGGATTACAGGTGTGAGCCACTGGCAACTGGCCTATTATCATTTTTATTATTATAATATATATATATATATATATTTTTTTTTTGAGAGATGGAGTCTCACCCTGTCACCCAGGCTACAGTACAATGGTGCAATCTTGGCTCACTGCAACCTCCATCTCTGGGTTCAAGCAGTTCTCCTGCCTCAGCCTCCCAAACTGGGATTACAGGCATCCACCACCATGCCCAGCTAATATTTTGTATCGTTAGTAGAGACAGGGTTTCATCATGTTGGCCAGGCCACTGTACCTGGCCTTAATTTTTGTATTTTTCATAGAGACGGGGTTTCACAATGTTGGCCAGGCTGGTTTTGAACTCCTGACCTCAAGTAATTTGCCCACCTTACCCTCCCAAGTGATTTTCTATGATTTTATTTAATGTTTTTTATCTTATTTATTTATTTTTTTTGCAAAACCACATCTTTTATTAAATTAATTGATTAATTTTTTTTTTTTGAGATGGAGTCTCGCTCTGTCACCAGGCTGGAGTGCAGTGGCGAGATCTTGGCTCACTGAAACCTCCCCCTCCCAGATCAAGAGATTCTCCTGTCTCAGCTTCCCAAGTAGCTGGGACTACAGGCATGTGCCACCACACCCAGCTAAATTTTGTATTTTTAGTAAGATGGGGTTTCACCATGTTGGCCAGGATGGTCTCCATCTCTTGACCTCGTGATCTACCCACCTCGGCCTCCCAAAGTGCTGGGATTATAGGTGTGAGCCACTGCACCCGGCTTACTTTATTTTTTTGAGATGGAGTCTCACTCTGTCGCCAGGCTGGAGTGTAGTGACGTGATCTTGACTTGATGCAACCTCTACCTCCCAGGTTCAAGCGATCCTGCTGCCTCAGCCTCCTGAGTACAGGGGTACCACCATGCCCAGCTAATTTTTGTATTTTTAGTAGAGATGAGGTTTCACCATGTTGGCCAGGATGGTCTTGATCTCCTGATCTTGTAATCCACCCACCTCAGCCTCCCAAGGTGCTGGGATTACAGATGTGAGCAACTGAGCCCAGCTTATGATTTTATTTTTAACTCAGTACTTAGGACAGAAATGCTTTATTGATCAAGAGTATAGTTGGCTGGGCACCAACCCCTTGTAAAAAAAATACAAAAATTAGCCAGGCATCATGGTGCACACCTGTAATCCCAGCTACTTTGGAGGCTAAGGCAGAAGAATCACTTGAACCTGGGGGGCAGAGGTTGCAGTGAGCTGAGATCGTGCCACTGCACTCCAGCCTGGGAGACAGAGCAAGACTCTGTCTTTAAAAAAAAAAGAGTATAGTTTAGCCGGGTATAAGAAAAAACCTTATTACAATGATATGTTAGGACTTAGGCCTTGAAATGTGCTTCATAAAATAGCATATACATAACTAGTTCTTAGAACTAAAGACTATTGCCCTTTCCTTTCTTTTATCCTTTACTGTTTTTCAATATAATAATTACCCTCCTTCAAAAGCTGGGAATGGAGGAGAAGATACAGTACCCTACAGTATCTACATAATATAAAATAGAGCTATGTAACTAATAGACTCTTGATAAATATTACTGGCTGGCTTCTAATTGGCTGGCTACTGAGTGAGTGATGAAGCTAAAAATTATCAGTTAATATTATAAATAATAAAATACTCAAAAGTATTTTCTTCCTCAGAGAGGCCCTCAGATTTTAGATAATTTGGAAAAAAATATTCTAGGGTATTAATTGCTTTCTTAACCTTCTGGCCCTAATTGACTTCTTCAGCTCAGCCTCCCCAAAGGGCTGAGATTATGGGTATAAACTACCATACCAGGCCAAGGGATAACTACTTTCTTTCTTTCTTTTTTTTTTTTTTTTGAGACAGAGTTTTGCTCTTGTTACCCAGGCTGGAGTGCAATGGCGCGATCTCGGCTCACCGCAACCTCCGCCTCCTGGGTTCAGGCAATTCTCCTGCCTCAGCCTCCTGAGTAGCTGGGATTACAGGCACGCACCACCATGCCCAGCTAATTTTTTGTATTTTTAGTAGAGACAGGGTTTCACCATGTTGACCAGGATGGTCTTGATCTCTTGACCTCATGATCCACCTGCCTCGGCCTCCCAAAGTGCTGGGATTACAGGCTTGAGCCACCGCGCCCGGCTGATAATAACTACTTTCTAATCCCCACAGCTATCAGTTGTAAGGTTGAGAAAGGGAATGTTTACATACCGTGCTGGCTGACAAGGTGAGTACGGAAGCATATGACATCTCCAACAAAGGTAAGCTTGGTGTCTGGCTCAATGGCATGCTCTACAGCAACAGGAATATAATCTGCCATACCTGGATGTCTCTGGTCGCAAATCCTTACAAGTGTCAGCCCTCTGTTCACAGCTTGGGCCATGTAAGTATAGTTCTTATTCCCTGGTCCAATAAGCAGCAAGTCATCTCTGCAAGTAAACATTAAAGGTACAAATCTCTAAAAAGAGACAAGGGTCAGAAGATAGTTCTGGGGAACACCCTATCACATTTTATATTCAACAGCTCAAAAGTTCAGAAGTATTTCCACAGTAAAAAGTAAGTAAGTAAGCCGAGCGCGGTGGCTCACACCTGTAATCCCAACACTTTGGGAAGCCAAAAGTGGATCATGAGGTCAAGAGATTGAGACTATCCTGACCAACATGGTGAAACCCTGTCTCTACTAAAAATACAAAAAAATTAGCTGGGCGTGGTGGCGTGTGCCTGTAGTCCCAGCTACTCAGGAGGCTGAGGCAGGAGAATTGCTTGAACCCAGGAGGTGGAGGTTGCAGTGAGCCGAGATAGCACCACTGCACTCCAGCCTGGCACCTGGCGATGGAGCGAGACTCTGTTTCAAAAAAAAAGAATAAGTATAGACCAAGGATCAGTCTATTACCTTCATATGTATAGTGCCCAGGAAGGCTTTTTTCCAGTAAAGCCTTTAGATAATAATACTCCAGTTAGCCCCCTGTGGATCTTTTAGTGAACTAGGACTGGACAGATTTAAGATATCCTGAAATTTTTCTTAATTGACAACTAATACCATTGTCTAAGTTTGTTTTTGTTTTTTAAGATAAAGTCTTAATTAATCACCCAGGTTGGAGTGCAGTGGCACAATCTCAGCTCACTCTAACCTCTACCGTTTGGCCTCAAGTGATCCTCCCACCTCAGCCTCCCTAGTAGCTGGGACTGCAGGCACATGCTACCATACCCAGCTCATTTTTGTATTTTTTTTAGAGATGGGGTTCCACCACGTTGTCCAGGCCGGTCTCAAACTCCTGGGCCCAAGTGATCCTCTCTCCTCAGCCTCCCACAGTGCTGGGATTACAGGTGTGAGCCACCCACCTGGCCTCACTTAAAAAAATTTTTTTAACCATCTTGACCAACATGGTGAAACCCTGTATCTACTAAAAATACAAAAATTAGCTGAGCATGGTGGTGTGTGGCTCTTATCCCAGCTACTCAGGAGGGTGAGGCAGGAGAATCACTTGAACCCGGAGGTAGAGGTTGTGGTGAGCCAAGATCGTGCCACTGCACTCCAGCCTGGATGACAAAACAAGATTGTGTCTAAAAAATATTTTTTTTTAACAGAAGAAAGATCAAATTTCAAATTCAGAATGTAAGAGGAATTTACTGGAGTTGGTATACAATACTAGTTTAATCTGCAAGATTTCTACCATAGTGTCAATAACATTCCTTTGACTTCCATACCTGTTCAGAGCCAGATAAAGCTGGGTATTGTGTGTGTGGAATTTCTCTCCAATGCTATTATAAAACTGAACAGTGAAGGTTAGAGACATGCCCAAGGGAAACGCTGACAGGATCCTTCCTTGGGCCGTGTATAGCTTGGGTTGGCTGCTCACTCGCAGGTATGTCACCGGTGCTACCTGTGGGAGATAAAACCTACTGGTACAGAGAAAGATGCATTGGAGAAGTGCCACAACCATATTCTGAGACTTATAATCAATGATAAAGAGTCATGTTTCTCCTCCACATGAAATAGCTTTTGATGTGAGATGACTGAAATCAGAATGAAAAGAAATATTACAGTATAGGAAATGTTTTTTGTTTGTTTGTTTGTTTTTGAGACAGAATCTCACTTTGTCACCCAGGCTGGAGTACAGTGGCATGATTTCAACTCACTGCAACTACTGCCTCCCAGGTTCAAGTGATTCTCCTGCCTCAGCCTCCCAGGTAGCTGGGATTACAGGCACCTGCCACCACGCCTGGCTTTTTTGTTTTTTTTTTTTTTGTAGAGACAGGGTTTCACCATGTTGACTAGACTGGTCTCAAACTCCTGACCTCAAGCGATCTGCCCACCTTGGCCTCCCAAAGTGTGGGATTACAGGCATGAGCCACTGTGCCTGGCTTGAAATGGGTTTTTAAAGTTTTTTTTTTTGAGACGGAGTTTTTCTCTTGTTACCCAGGCCAGAGTGCAATGGCGCGATCTCAGCTCACTGCAACCTCCGCCTCCTGGGTTCAGGCAATTCTCCTGCCTCAGCCTCCCGAGTAGCTGGGACTACAGGCATGCGCCACCATGCCCAGCTAATTTTTTGTATTTTTAGTAGAGACAGGGTTTCACCATGTTGACCAGAATGGTCTCGATCTTTTGACCTTGTGATCCACCCGCCTCGGCCTCCCAAAGCGCTGGAATTACAGGCTTGAGCCACCGCGCCCGGCTTTAAATTTTTTTTTTTGAGACAAAGTCTTGCTCTGTCATCCAGGCTGGAGTTCAATGTCTTGATCTCAGCTCAGTGCACCCTCTGCCTCCTGGGTTCAAGCTATTCTCTGCCTCAGCCTCCTGAGTAGCTGAGATTACAGGCACCCCCAAGCCTGGCTAATTTTTTTTTTTTTTTGTATTTTTAGTAGAGATGGGGTTTTACCATCTTGGCCAGGTTGGTCTTGAACTCCTGACCTCGTGAGCCACCCATCTTGGCCTCCGAAAGAGCTGGGATTATAGGCCTGTGCCAAGATTTTAATTTTTAAAGCTGTGGGAATGTGAAGAGAAGCTGGAGCTTTATGAGGAAAGGACTGTAACTCATCCATTTCGTGCAGAGTGCTCAATATTTATGGTTAAATAATCGATTACTTATCAGGAACACAATCTATATTGTGTTTTCACAGTGTAAGAGAGCTGCGATACAGTAAGTGAAGTTCAGCTTTGAATCATAGCTTTGTCATTTCATAGCCTCATGTAACTTTTCTGGGTCTCAGGTTTCCTATCGGTTAACGGTTAGATGGGGATAATAATGCCTACCTCATAGGGCTTTTGTGGTAGTTAAAAGAGATAATATACATAAAACAACCAACATAGTATATAGTAGATGTTTAATGCCTAAATTTTTTTGTGTGTGTTAAGACTAACATCTCTGAGGTATTTTCTCAGTTTTTTAACTCTAGCAACAAAGCTTTTTAAAAGGAGACATATTCTTGCGTTGTTTTCTAGGCTGCAGTGCAGCAGTGCAATCATAGCATACTGCAACCTCAAACTCCTGGGTTCATGCGATCCTCCACCTCAGTCTTCCAAGCAGCTAGGACTGCAGGCATGTGCCATCACATCTGGCTAATTTTTTTCATTTCTTTTTGTTTTTTATTATTTTTAAATTAAATTTAATTTTTTATTGCATTTTAGGTTTTGGGGTACATGTGAAGAACATGCAAGATTGTTGCATAGGTACACACGTGGCAGTGTGATCTGCTGCCTTCCTCCCCTTCACCTATATCTGGCTTTTCTCCCCATGCTATCTCTCCCCAACTCCCCACCCCTCTCTGTCCCTCCCCTATTTCCCTCCAACAGACCCCAGTGTGTGATGCTCCCCTCCCTGTGTCCATGTGTTCTTATTGTTCAACACCCACCTATGAGTGAGAACATGTGGTGTTTGATTTTCTGTTCTTGTGTCAGTTTGCTGAGAATGATGGTTTCCAGGTTCATCCATGTCCCTACAAAGGACACGAACTCATCATTTTTGATGGCTGCATAATATTCCATGGTGTTTATGTGCCACATTTTTCCAATCCAGTCTATTATCAATGGGCATTTGGGTTGGTTCCAGGTCTTTGCTATTGTAAACTGTGCTGCAATGAACATTCGTGTGCATGTGTCCTTATAGTAGAACGATTTATAATCCTTTGGATATATACCCAGTTATGGGATTGCTGGGTCAAATGGAATTTCTATTTCTAAGTCCTTGAGGAATTACCACACTGTCTTCCACAATGGTTGAACTAATTTATACTCCCGCCACAGTGTAAAAGTGTTCCTATTTCTCCATATCCTCTCCAGCACCTGTTGTCTCCAGATTTTATAATGATCGCCATTCTAACTGCTGTGAGATGGTATCTCAATGTAGTTTTGATTTGCATTTCTCTAATGACCAATGATGATGAGCATTTTTCATATGTTTGTTGTCCTCATGTATGTCTTCTTTTGTAAAGTGTCTGTTCATATCCTTCACCCACTTTTGAATGGGCTTGTTTTTTTCTTGTAAATCTGTTTTAGTTCTTTGTAAATTCTGGATATCAGCCCTTTGTCAGATGGGTGAACTGTGAAAATTTAATTTAATTTAATTTAATTATTATTTTTTTTAAGATGGAGTTTCACTCCTGTTACCCAGGTTGGAGTGCAATGGCGCAATCTCAGCTCACCGCAACCTCTGCCTCCTGGGTTCAAGCAATTCTTCTGCCTCAGCCTCCCAAATAGCTGGGACTACAGGCATGCACCACCATGCCCACCTAATTTTTTTTTGTATTTTTAGTAGAGACAGGGTTTCACCATGTTGGCCAGGATGGTCTCGATCTCTTGACCTCATGATCCACCCGTCTCGGCCTCCCAAAGTGCTGGGATTATAGGCGTGAGCCACCGTGCCCGGCCTTATATTTTTTTAAAGATGGTGTTTCACCATGATGGCCAGGCTGGTCTTGAACTCCTGACCTCAGGTGATCCACCCACCTCAGCCTCCCAAAGTGCTAGGATTACAGGCGTGATCCACCACGCCCGGCCATTTTTTTCATTTCTTTTTGTAGAGCTGGTGGGGGGGTCTCATTATGTTGCTCACGCTGGTCTCAAATTCATGGCCTCAAGTGATTCTCCTGCCTCAGCCTCCCAAAGTGCTAGGATTACAGACGTGAGGCACCAAGCCCAGCCAATTTTGATAGCGATCCTTCTACACTCCTCCAACACAAACCCTTTTGCCAAAGCTGCTAGGAAGACGTATAAATTTAGGCTGATCTGTTTTATAACAAAGGCTCTAAAGTCCATTTTAATTTTATGGCTTATAACCATGTTAAGACTGACCTCTTATCTTTTTTTTTTTTTTTTTTGAGATGGAGTCTCACACTGTTGCCCAGGCTGCAGTGCAGTGGCTAGATCTCAGCTAACTGCAATCTCCACCTCCTGGGTTCAAGCAATTTTCCTGCCTCTCGATCAGCTGGGACTACAGATGTACACCATCACGCCCAGCTAATTTTTTGTATTTTTAGTAGAGAGGGAGTTTCACCGTATTGGCCAGGATGGTCTTGATCTCCTGACCTTATGATCTGCTCGCCTCAGCCTCCCAAAGTGCTGGGATTACAGGCATGAGCCACCACGCCTGGCCTGGCCTCTTACCTTACAGATTCATTTCTGACCCTTAGAGAAGTTTCTTCTTCGTTCTTTTTTCTGGTCATGTTCTGTCATGATAGAGAAGTTTCTGGTTCTTTTTGTTTTCTTTTTCTTTTTTTCTTTAATGGCATGATAAGAAAGTTTCTCGTTCTTAAAAAAAGAATATTGCTTCTTAAGGCCAGGGTATGCCTTTTATTATTTTTTTAGTAAGTCCCTGAACTCACCTGGACCCCAGTTATGGTTGTTTGGTTGACTCCAAAAGGTTCTATAGAAGTGACTTCCAATACAGCAGTACCTGCAATGGAACCAGCTTTCAGGAGCCCTTCGCCATCCTCCTCAATGACAGATGAATTAGGCAAACACTTGAGAACACGAGAACTCACGAAGGCAGCTCCTTCCCTAGGGAACAAGGAAATCAAGTGGCATCTTTCGGGGGTCTGACTGGAGAGAAAAGAGTAAAAGTTGCCAGGATCAGCCAGGCGCAGTGGCTAATGCTTGTAATCCCAGCACTTTGGGAGGTCAAGGTGGGAGGATCACCTGAGGTCAGAGACCAGCCTGGCCAACACGGTGAAACCCCATCTCTACAAAAAAAAAAAAAAAAAAAAACCCAAAAATTAGCAGGGCATGGTGACATGTGCCTGTAATCACATCTACTTGAGAGGCTGAGGCAGGAGAATCACTTGAACTCAGGAGGCAAAGGTTGCAGTGAACCGAGATTGTGCCACTGCACTCCAGCCAAGGTGACAGAGCGAGAATCAGTCTCAAAAAAAAAATTATTCAGCCAAAACAATTGAAAACAGGTATTCAAGTAAATATTTGCAAATGAATATTCATAGCCATATTATTCACAATAGCCAAAAGGTGAAAACAATCCACATTTCTATTAGCAGATGAAATGAAAAACTAAATGTGGTATTTCCATATAATGGAATACTATTTAGTCATAAAAAGGAAGAGGTACTGATACATGCTACAACATGGATGAACCCCAAAAACATTATGATAACTTAAAGAAGCCAACGTAAGGCCGGGCAAGGTGGCTCATGCCTGTAATCTCAGCACTTTAGGAGGCTGAGACGGGCAGATTACCTGGAGCTCAGGAGTTCATGACCAGCCTGGGCAACATGGTAAAACCCTGTCCCTACTAAAATACAAAAAAAAAAAAAATTAGCTGGGCATGGTGGCGTGACTACTCGGGAGGCTGAGGCAGGAGAATTGCCTGAACCCGGGAAGTGGAGGTTGCAGTGAGCTGAGATCGGGCCACTGCATTCTAGCATAGGCAACAGAGTGAAACTCCATCTCAAAAAAAGAAAAAAGAAGCCAACACAAAACGTTTCATATTGTATGATTTCATTTATATGAAATATATCCAGAATAACTAACACCATACACAGAAAGCAGATTAGTGATTGCCAGAGGCTGAGAGGAGGAAAGAAAGAAGAGTGACTGCTTCATAGGTATGGGATCTCCTTTGGTGGTGATAAAAATATTTTGGAGCCAGATAGCGATGATGAATATACAATATTGTGAATGGACTAAATGTCACTGAATTTTACACTTTACAATAATTTTACATTATTGGAATTTCACCTCATATAAAAAATTATTTAGGGGTTAGAAAAGTCTCCTAGAAGGCAAAGGTGTTCTTTCTATGTCAATGTTTTACTGAAGATACTTAAACTTAGATCCTAGCACTTCCTTCTTTTGCCTTTTCATTACCTGTTGGTATGGAGTTTGAGCTGAGAATTTATAGGCATCAGAATCTGCTCAGGTTGGTACTCTGGATAGAAAAGTTGGAGTTTTTCAAACACCTATCATGAGAAAATAATGTTTTTCTCATTTTTGGCAAAGACAAATTATAACTTTTACTTACATATGGACTTCAGTATAATCTCAGAGGGATTACATGCAAATAAATGACAACTACAAATCAACAGTCTGCTTAACTTCTAATTAGTCTAAAATCATCCACAATACTCTTCTCCAAAATGAACCAGGCAGTTAAAACATATCTAGGTATTCGGGCTGGGCGCGGTGGCTCACGCCTGTAATCCCAGCACTTTGGGAGGCCGAGGCGGGTGGATCACGAGGTCAAGAGATCAAGACCATCCTGATCAACATGGTGAAACCCCCGTCTCTACTAAAAATACAAAAAATTAGCTGGGCATGGTGGCATGTGCCTGTAATCCCAGATACTCAGGAGGCTGAGGCAGGAGAATTGCCTGAACCCAGGAGGCGGAGGTTGCGGTGAGCTGAGATTGCACCATTGCACTCCAGCCTGGGTAACAAGAATGAAACTCCGTCTCAAAAAAAAACAAAAACAAAAAAAAAAAAAAAAAACAAAACATATCTAGGTATTCTAGAAGATATAACCTAATATAAGCCCTGTTTCTGACTTTGAGGGACTGAGCATGTAGCAAAGTTTACACTTACCACATCTCCTGTATTACTTAGATGTTAGATATAAAATTAGTTTGAAATTTCTAATTTTAATTCTGGTAAAATGAAGTTTGGGAAAAAGAACCCATAATATTAAATTAGCATGAAACACCATCCAGGTCTTCCACCTAGTAGTAAAGTGCTCTTTCCTCTACTTCACATTGAATCAGAGAACCAAAGCCAAAATAAAGGAAAAAATAAAAAAGGAAAAGATAAAAAAAGTCCCAAATCAGAGAAAGTGAAACTTACTTGCCCCATACAAGTGATAACTTGTCTTTTGAATTCTAAAAACAACAGGGCCATTTAGCTTTTAGCCTGAGAATATCTGTAGAAACTATTCATACTTTTACACCTTATCGAAAGTTAGAATTACGTGTTGGTTTTTTGTTTGTTTGTTTGTTTGTTTGAGACAGTCTCACTCTATCACCCAGGCTGGAGTGCAGTGGCATGATCTTGGCTCACTGCAACCTCTGCTTCCCAGGTTCAAGAGATTCTCCTGCCTCAGCCTCCTGAGTAGCTGGGACTACAGGCACATGCCACCACGCCCAGCTAATTTTTGTATTTTTAGTAGAGACAGGGTTTTACCATGCTGGCCAGGATGGTCTTGATCTCCTGACCTCGTGATCCACCCATGTTGGCCTCCCAAAGTGTTGGGATTACAGGCTTGAGCCACTGCACCCGACCAGAATAATGTTGTTTCCTAACTGGGATATATTTAAATGGACTTATATCAGCTGGGCTGGGTGGCTCATGCCTGTAATTCCAGCACTTTGGGAGGCCCAAGTGGGCAGATTACCTGAGGTCAGGAGTTCAAGACCAGCCTGATCAACATAGTGAAACCTCATCTCTACTAAAAATAAAAATATTAGCCGGGCATGGTGGTACGTGCCTATAATCTCAGGTACTCAGGAGGCTGAGACAGGAGAATCACTTGAACCTGGGAGGCAGAGGTTGCAGTAAGTTGAGGTCATACCACTGCACTCCAGCCTAGCAACAAAGTGAGACTCCATCTCAAAAATAAATAAATTAATAAAAATTTAAAATAGACTTACAATATCTGTGTCAGGTGGAGCAAATCAGAAATGAATCCCTCTCTAGTTACTATGATGTTCATATCCTGTGCTCCCGAAATGGGGAGTTGAAGGGAGCATGTATGCTACAGTTTCTTTTTTTTTTTTTCCTACCCAGATTGGTCATCTGCAAGTACTAATAGTTTCTAATGTCAATAGTGTATAAAAGCAGCTGGGCACAGTGGCTCATGCCTGTAATCCCAGCAGGTTGGGAGGCCGAAGTAGGCAGATCATTTGAGATCAGGAGTTTGAGGCCAGCCTGGACAACATGGCAAAACCCCATCTCTACTAAAAATACAAAAATTGAGCTGGGTGCGGTGGCTCAAGCCTGTAATCCCAGCACTTAGGGAGGCTGAGGCGGGTGGATCACGAGGTCAAGAGATTGAGACCATCCTGGCCAACATGGTGAAACCCTGTGTCTACTAAAAATACAAAAATTAGCTGGGCATGGTGGTGCGCGTCTGTAGTCCCAGCTACTTGGAAGGCTGAGGCAGGAGAATTGCTTGAACCCGAGAGGTGGAGGTTGCAGTGAGCCGAAATTGTGCCACTGCACTTCAGCTTGGTGATAGAGCGAGACTCTGTCTCAAAACAAGAAAACAAAAATTATCTGGGTGTGGTGGCACATGCCTATATCCCAGCTACTTGGGAGGCTGAGGCAGGGAGAATTACTTGAACCCTGCAGTGAGCTGAGATCATGCCACTGCACTCCAGCCTGGGTGACAGAGTGAGACTCTGTCTCAAAAACAAAAAACAAAACTATATACAAGCAATCAGCAGGAATGATAAAAATCTAGGAACTACAAATCTGTTCCAGGAATTCCTCTAACAATTCTCTGTCTCTATTCAGACTAAGCTCTTCGTGGATGGTAAGAGTATATAACTTTCTTGTCCTTGATATACAAAAACAAGATTTAGATTTGGGAGCTTACCAGGATCTGTACTTCATCAGAGAGTTCCAACAAATTCCCCTCAAACTGCCCAGAGGCACCGTTCATGCAGTGAGCAGTGACCTTGATACTGGTCTGGCCTGCTGCTTTTGTGTGGACAACCATGGCAAAGTTATGCTCTACTGGGAGCTGTAGAGAAACCTAGACAGTGAAGGGATAGATTAAGAAATATTCATGAATAAACACGGTGTTTCCTTTTTTTTTTTTCAGCTTTTTTAATGTTAAAAAAAGTTTAAATAAAGTCAGGGAAAGGTGGGGGGGGGTGAGGGATAAAAGACTACAATACAAATAGGGTGCAGTGTATACTGCTTAAGTGATGGGTGCACCAAAATCTCACAAATCACCACTAAAGAACTTACACATGTAACCAAATACCACCTGTACCCCAATAACTTATGGAAAAATAAAAACTAAAAAGTCCCTCAGGCTGGAGAGAAGTGATGTGATCTCGGCTCACTGCAGCCTCGACCTCCCATGCTCAGGTGATCCTCCCACCTCATCCTCCCTAGTAGCTGGGACTACAGGGGCACACCAAAAAATAAAAATAATTTTTGTATTTTTTGTATACCTGGGGTTTCACCATGTTGCCCAGGCTGGTCTTGAACTCCTAGGCTCAAGCGATCCCCACCTCAGCCTCCCAAAGTGCTGGGATTACAGTTAATTTTTTGTTTTTATTTTTAATTTTTGTGACTACATAGTAGGTATACATATTTATTGGGTACATGAGATATTTTGATACAAGCATAGAACCTGTAACAATCACATCAGGGTAAAGAGGGTATCCATCACCTCAAGCATACTTAAAAGTTGAAACCTTTTTTGTTTTCTTGGAGACAAGGTATTGCTCCGTTGCCAAGGCTGGAGTGCAGTGGTGCAATCACAGCTTCCTGTGGCCTCAACCTCCTGGGCTCAAACAATCCTCCCAAGTAGCTGAGACCACAGGCATGTGCCACTATGTCCAGCTAATAAAATTTTTTTTTTCTCTAAAAACAGGATGGTCTTGAACTCCTGGGCTCAAGTGATACTTCTGCCTTAGCCTCCTAGAGTGTTGCAATTACAGGCATGAGCTACTGTGCCCAGGTACATTTATCCTTTCTGTGTTACAGAAAATCCAGTGATACTCATTTATTTTATTTTGAGACAGAGTCTTGCTCTGTTGCCTAGGTCGGAGTGTAGTGGTGTGATTTCTGCTCACTGCAACCTCTGCCTCTGGGGTTCAAGCGATTCTCCCTGTCTCAGCCTCCCAAGTAGCTGGGATTACAGGTGGCTACCATCATGCCTGGCTAATTTATATATATATAAAATTTATATATATATAATATATATATTATTAATATAAATTATATATATTATATATAATATATACAATATAATATATATAATTTATAATTATATATAATATATATAAAATTATATATATAAATTTTATATATATATAAACTGCGTTTTAGATTTGGGGTACACATGAAGAACATGCAGGATTGTTGCATAGGTACACACATGGCAATGTGGTTTATTGCCTTCCTCCCTGTCACCTCTATCTGGCATTTCTCCCCATTTTATCCCTCCCCACCTCCTGCTGTCCCTCCCCTAGTTCCCCCCGACAGACCTCAGTGTGTGATGCTCCCCTCCCTGTGTCCATGTGTTCTCATTGTTCAACACCCACCTATGAGTGAGAACATGCGGTATTTGATTTTCTGTTCTTATGTCAGTTTGCTGAGAATGATGGTTTCCAGGTTCATCCATGTCCCTACAAAGGATATGAACTAATTGTTTTTTATGGCTGCATAGTATTCCATGGTATATATGTGCCACATTTTCCCTATCCAGTCTATCATCGGTGGGCATTCGGGTTGGTTCCAAGTCTTTGCTATTGTAAACAGTGCTGCAATGAACATTTGTGTGCATGTGTCCTTATAATAGAATGATTTATAATCCTTTGGATATATACCCAGTAATGGGATTGCTGGGTCAGTTTTTATGTTTTTAGTAGAGACAGGGTTTCACCATGTTGGCTAGGCTGGTCTTGAACTCCTGACCTTAGGTGATCCACCCACCTTGGCCTCCTAAAGTGCTGGGATTACAGGCATGAGCCACTGTACCTGGCCTAGTTATTTAAAAATATACAATAAATTATTGTTGACTGTAGCCACCTTGTTGTGCTATCAAATACTAGATCTTACTCATTTTATCTAACTATATTTTTGTACTCATTAAGCATCCCCACTTCCCTCCCACTCACCCACTATGCTTTCCAGCCTCTGGTAGCCATCATTCTTCTATCTTCATGAGTTCAGTTGTTTTAATTTTTAGCTCTCACAGGTAAGTCAGAACATGCAAAGTTTGTCTATCTATACCTGGCTTATTTCACTTAACATAATGTCTCCAGTTCCATCATCCATGTTGTATACATAACAGGATGACAGGATCTCATTTTTTTTTTTTTTTGGACAGGGTCTCACTCTGTTGCCCAGGTTGGAGTACAGTGGCACAATCATGGCTCTTTGCTGCCTCAATCTTTAGGGCTCAAGTGATCATCCTGCCTCAGCCTCTCGAGTAGCTGCGACTACAGGCATGTACCACTTACCCTGGCTAAATTTTTTTAAATTTATTTTTTGTAGAGACTGGGTCTCACTATGTTGCCTAAGCTTGGCCTCAAACTCCTTGGCCCAAGCCATCCTCCCACCTTGGCCTTCCAAAGTGCTAGGATTACAGGTGTGAGTTATGGTGCCCAGCCATCTCATTCCTTTTTTATGGCTAAGTTGTATTCCATTGTATATGTGTACCTCATTTTCTTTATCCATTCATCTGCTGATGGACACTTAGGTTGCTTATAAATCTTGGCCATTATGAATAGTGCTGCAATAAATATGAGAGTGTGGGTATCTCCTTGATATAGTGATTTCCTTTCTTTTGGGTATATGTCTAGCAGTGGGATTGTTGGGATCATATGGTTATTCCATATTTAGTTTTTTTTTGTTTTTTTTTGAGACGGTGTTTCGCTGTTGTTATCCAGACTGGAGTGCAATGGCACGATCTCGGCTCACCGCAACCTCTGCCTCCTGGGTTCAAGCAATTCTGCCTCAGCCTCCCGAGTAGCTGGGACTACAGGTGCGCACCACCATGCCCAGCTAATTTTTGTATTTTTAGTAGAGACAGGGTTTCACCTTGTTGACCAGGATGGTCTTGATCTCTTGACCTCGTGATCCACCCATCTCGGCCTCCCAAAGTGCTGGGATTATAGGCGTGAGCCACCGCGCCTGGCCCATATTTAGTTTTTTGAAAACCTCTGAACTATTCTCCATAGTGACTGTACTAATTCACATTCCCACCAACAGTATATGAGAGTTCCCTTTTCTCTATGTCCTTGCCAGCATTCATTGCCTGTCTTTCAGATATAAGCCATTTTAACTGGGGTGACATGATATTTCATTATAGTTTGATTTGCATTTCTCTGATGATCAATGATGTTGAGCACTCTTTCTTTTCCTTCTTTTTTTTTTTTTAATTTTTTTGAGACGGAGTCTTGCTCTCATCCAGGCTGGAGTGCAGTGGCGCAATCTTGGTTCACTGCAACCTCTGCCTCCTGGGTTCCAGCAATTCTCTTGCCTCAGCCCCCTGAGTAGCTGGAATCACAGGTGCACACCATCTTGCCCAGCTAATTTTTTTTTCTGTGTATGTGTGTGTGTGTGTGTGTGTGTACATACATACATATATATATATATATATATATATATATATTTTTTTTTTTTTTTTTTTTAGACAGAGTCTTGCTCTGTCCCTGAGGCTGGAGTGCAGTGGCACGATCTCAGCTCACTGCAACCTCTACCTCCTGGGTTCAAGAGATTCTCCTGCCTCACCCTCCTAAGTAGCTGGAATTACAATCATCTCACACTGCGCCCAGCTAATTTTTGTATTTTTAGTAGAGATGGGGTTTTACCATGTTGGTTAGGCTGGACTTGAACTCCTGACCTCGTGATCCGCCTGCCTCAGCCTCCCAAAGTTCTGGGATTACAGGCATGAACCACCATGCCCAGCCTTATTTTTGTATTTGTTAAGTAGAGACAGGGTTTCACCATGTTGCCAGACTGGTCTTGAACTCCTGACCTTGTGATCTGCTTGCCTCAGCCTCCCAAAATGCTGGGATTACAGGCATGGGCCACTGCGCCCTGTGGTTCCATATACATTTTTTACCCTGTTTCATATGCCTGTTTGCCATCTGTATGTCTTCTTTTTTTTCGAGATAGTCTTGCTCTTTTGCCCACGCAAGAGTGCAATGGCACTATCTTGGCTCACTGCAACCTTCACCTCCTGGGTTCAAATGATTTTCCTGCCTCAGTCTCCCCAAATAGCTGGGACTACAGGCGTGCACCACCACACCTGGCTAATTTTTGTATTTTTAGCAGAAACAGGGTTTCAGAATGTTGGCCAGGCTGGTCTTGAACTCTTCACCTCAGGTGATCAACCTGCCTCAGCCTCCCAAAGTGCTGGGGTTACGACACACGAGCCAGTTCGCCTGGCCTGTATTTCTTCTTTTAAGAAATATCTATTCAGGCTGGACGCCGGTGGCTCACGCCTGTAATCCCAGCACTTTGGGAGGCTGAGGCGGGCAGATGGCAAGGTCAGGAGATCAAGACCATTCTGGCCAACATGGTGAAACCCTGTCTTTACTAAAAATACCAAAAAATTTAGCTAGGTGTGGTGGCGCATGCCTGTAATCCCAGCTACAGGGGACGCTGAGGCAGGAGAACCACTTGAGCCAGATAGTTGGAGATTGCAGTGAGCCAAGATCACGCCACTGCACTCCAGCCTGGCAACAGAGTAAAACTCTGTCTTTAAAAAAAAAAGAGGAAAAGAAGTATCTATTCAGATCTTTTGCCCATTTTAAAATCTGATTGTTACATACATGTTTTTCCTATTGAGTTGTTTGAGCTGCTTATATACTGGATGTTAATCCTTTGTTAGATGGATAGTTTGCAAATATTTACTCCTATTTTGTGAGTTTTCTCTTCACTTGGCTGATTGTTTCCTTTGCTGTCCAGAAGCTTTTTAATTTGATATGATCCCATTTGTCCATTTTTGCTTTGGTTGCCTGTGTTTGTGGGGTATTACTCAAGAAATCTTTGCCCAGTCCAACGTTC